GTCAACCATCTTTGCTGTTTACACTTCGTACACCTTGTATACTAGTATTTTGGATTGTACGTCGAACTAAGTAACCATTCAGATAAATCCAGGGTTACAATGCACGGTTCACGGAACTATGGAAACGGATATTCCACTCGTCGGCTAAACGGGCCAATTGATCAAACGCCAGACAATTTGCAAGGAATAATATTATCCCCGTCAAATATGAATTGTGTTGAATGTGAACTGAGGTACAATTTATGCGAATTAATCGAATTCTTGTATAACCACCGGCTCTAGCGGCAGTGGAATTTATTAAAAGGTATTATATTATATTTACTGTACATATTTTATCCATTCTGTGTATCTTGTGTCGACGAACTGACGATGACACGGGTATCGTTTGGGAGAACATCGCTGCCACTCGCTGTGTACTCCGACTACTTACCATTGATGGTCATTCGTGTCAGTAGTGTAGACAAAGGACTTATCTGATGGAATAGAGTAGAGGGGGATCTTCCAAGTGAATTTTTTCCTCGGTTCTTTCCCTCCTTCCGGCTTCTCATCTCCTCGTTCCCTGTTTCATTTCGCGATTTGTTTCTACTAAACGTCCAGTTCTCCGCGTATACAAATCCGTCCCTTCATCGAGTCACATTATTCCAGATCGTTCCAGGTCTCGAAGCAATCCCAGGATACTCTGTGTCGCGGAGAATTCCTGTCATCTGTCCAACTCTCGTTCGATTTTCCGCGTCGGCGAGCAAAACGCCCGAGACGATACCGCCGTGAAGACGGATCGTCTGGTTCGATCCGATCTCTCGAGCGGAAACGTTTTTAAATTTCCTCGAGAAGGATCTAACGAATACAGTCGAAAAACAGCCTTCTTATCGACATAAATCGTTCGAGACGACGTTGAAATTGAGAAAAATATAGTCGCAGGTACCTACATACGATATATATGTAGACCACGGAATACATTTCTCGAATAATTCTTTCTATATGGTAGATGTTTACTGTTGCAAATTTTTTATTTGATCATTGAAATACAGACGAAAGGTCGACAAATCATTTCAAAGAACCTTCGAAATATTTCCAACGAACCACATCTTAACTAACGACAAACATTTACTGTTAAAAGTATACAAACCTGTTGTTGTCATAGTACAAGCTATTAATGAAAATGCACTAACTTTTCCCATCAAGGACCGGGTGGAAGTGTTTTTACCCTCGGTTTCACGCTGAAACCAGCAAGTGGTCGACGGAACGCGATCCATTTCTAAGGTTACAGCGGTAATCGTTCCCTATTACCGTGCTTCCTACACACACACACAAACGTGCACACAGAGAAACATACACACAATCCCAGTTACAGTGCAAGTCCATCCCGCTTGATAACTTCCTTCGCGTTCCATGAAGTCAAACGTGGAAAAAGCATCGCTGGGCTCCTTCGTCTCAAGTTTGCCAAGTGTTTTCAGTTCGTTCGCAGTCTTTCTCTTACTCGGTGCAGAATAACAAAAAGAAAGAAACAGAGAAAAGAACCAGGTGGGACAGAGAAGCAAAAAGGCGTCATCCTTTTTCGTCCGCTTGAAACGACCGTTACTCCCTCATTTGCTCGGCCAACATCCGCGCCCGTTTCACGGTATTTCTACCCAATTAAGCACGAATTTTTTCCCTATCCCCCGGTAATTCGTCCATTAACTAACATTTTAATTACGCACGCGGAACGACGGCGAATTAAAACATAACTTGCTAATTAGCCCGTTCAGCGAAGAAAACGGTGATCGATCACGTTCCATATCGAACGATTTAACGAGACTCGACGACGAGAAACGTTCGTGTTTTTTTTTCTATTTGAAGACAAATTTTGCAGTCTATATTTCTATGTTTATGCTTCCAACTTTCCGCCATATTAAAATATGACCGGTTAGAAAACAATTTGGAAGCACTGTGTAAGCGTGGCGTGAACACAGCCTTTCTATATTAATATAGAAATCTAGTAAGAGGAAATTTCTCGTAACATTACGCGAAGAAACGAGCGTAGGAACGTCGAATTAATTGCTCCGAAGGCTCGCGTGACCGTAAAACAGAGGGTTCTGCAGGTGTGGAAGCGAAGGGTGGGGAGGGTTGTAAGGCGGAACGCGTGGAAATTCAACGGCGAATTCGGGGCCGCGGCTACCAAAATACTTGGCTGGAATTAGTAATTAAGTGCTCGAGGACAATTCCGTTGCGCGAGTCAGCGTGACGGTTCTGTAATTGCCGGACACTACGGGGATTTCAATTCGGCCAACGGCCCGGGGATTTGCATACTTTGTGTTTTGTATGCGACTCGCATACTGACTGTGCACGGTATTACGAAATTCGGTCGCGACGCGAAATTCCCATCTCTCTGTCTCTCTCTACCTCTATATTCCTCTGTCCCTCTTTCGCCCCCCTCTATCTCTGTTGCTCCTCTCCTTTTCCCTCGGTTGAACGTCGTTATAAACGAGTTACGAGTCCGTCGTCCCCTGGACGTCGTTATGAGTTCCACGTTTCACCGAACCCCGTCTCTTCACTTATGGACGACGCCGGAGATATGCAATAACGTGTCCTGGCCGTTTCGGTACGTCCATGAATCGTTCCTCCTTTTTAATAGCGCGTCGGACCGGTTCTATCTTTCCCTCTCTCATTTGCTCTGCCGTCCACGGTCCCCTTTATTGGACGAATTAATTTCGTATTATTCGTTCCTTCTTTAGCGCACATTTTTTTTTTCGGGTTCGGCGCGCGCACAGCCCCCGAATTGAATTCAAGTTAAATGAATTTTTAATTAACGGACCAGGGGTGGAGAGGAACGACGATCGATACGGGAATTTTAGACAGCGGCCACACTATCGATCTTCGGTTTGGATGCAACGTGCTCTGGTATCTAGGGGAGAATTGGAGTTTCCCGTGGTTGTGCAATTATTTCGTTTGAGTACGCGAGACAGTTTGTTTGTGGAATACGTTTGAAAGTTTTCAGGATGTTCTTTGTGTTCGGAATAAATGGAGAAAAATATGGCGATGTTAAATTTTTGGAATGTACAGTGCGCGCAGTAATTATATATCGGACAAAATATTTCTAAAGTTTCCTTGACGAATGCATTTCTTCTTTTTATCTTGAATTGCGTCGTCACATTTATGTTTCTAGGTCAATTATAACTGTACTATAGATTTTTAGCTATTTTTTGTTTAGAATGTGCAGTTATGTAAGGTGTACATATTTTTTTACTTTGTCTGGTATAATTAATTCATTATACCAGATACTCCCCCAATAAATCTATCAAACCTAAGTAACTCAATCTGTCTTGAGAGCACTATAGCAGGGTCTGACCACCAAAAACTTATTCTACTTCCACAATAAGTAAACCATACGTGTTTACATTGAGTTATTTCAATGTTCTCATAGACCACTACAAATTTCATTTTCCTCAGAAAATTAACAGAGTCTATCCATGGTCGAATCACTGATCAGTCAAAAGCGTCACCGGCATCGAAGTTTGATCGATTCCTCCAGCAGAATGCTCTATCCGCTCTTAAATCGAACACCACCACACCGCCGCTCGTAGTTTCTTTCGCCAGAGGAAGGGGGTGGGGGGGAGGGGTATGAATACACCGACAATTAAACTGCATACTCAACGGGAACGGCCTGCCGGAGTTATTAGCCTGAAGTGGGTTCTAACGATGCAAGAGGCCCCACGGAGTACTTGCTGACTCGTGTTTTCGCACCCCCGATCAAAGCGTTACGTCGAAGTACCTACCGCGTGTCTGATACACTTCGAATAGGATAACTTGGCCGACGACGTGGTGTACCCCCTCCCTTACAACCCTTGTTCGACAATCGTGATAACCGAAGCGTTTAATCAATCTTGAAACTCGACGAGCTATTCTCTTAACGGGGCACGATCGACGAACCGTGACTCTGGTGGGAGAGAAAGGGCACTGAATCGAGTCCGCGTTAATTTTCTTCCCAAGTTCTTCCTCGTCGTGACTGCATTCATTGCCGAGGAGACGACTCGGTACCCTGGAAACTCATTGTACGTACAACCGAGTCGATTTAATTTCAATGGAATCTCATTATGTTGGATCTCTGAACGTCGGACCCATTAATGTCACTTTGTACTATTTGCAAGTATCGAATACTGATGAGATCGTGTTTATCCCTTTCAGATCGGAATTTTCTTTTAAGGGTAAACAAAATATCTGATTACACCTTGTAACGTAGTAGATTGTTTATATGAAATTTTGGTTTAGATAATATTTTATTACTCGGGAAATTTTGAAATTGTAAACAACCCTTCCACCGATATTCCATCGTTACGAAATCTCTCGCGCAATGTACTACGCTTTCTGCCGAACCGTTTTCAAACCACACATATAAAACATTAAACGTTACACCTCCAAATCCCGTACAAAATACCCACTGTACATGCGGTGGCGATTTTATAGCGAAACAATAAAACATCGTCGCAACGTGACGCGAGTATTTCAGATTTTACGATTATTCGGGAAAAAAAACAAAAACTCAATTATTAGAAATGAAGGGAAACGGGGATTCGCGATGCAATTAAACTCTCATGGCTCGTTGCTCGACAATTCCGTCGTCAACGATCTCACCGACGATCATCCGTTTCGTTCGTGTCATCGTCAACGTGTTTTAAGGGGTAACACCACCGATGATAGGCAAAGAATGATAGGATAACTTAGGACGTGATTTAACAGAAACTAAACAAAAGAATACATTGCAACAAATCTGTCAAACTTGTATATTTCAAAACAATTATTTCCTTTTGTTGAAAAACTTCTTAAAATTTTGTGGGGCCATTCCAAAAAAAAAGGTTGAGCGGAACTGAATGGAAAGTTTAACGTGTACCACCGGTGGTACATGTGGCACGGAACGTGTTTAACAATTTTTAATATTTTTTTTATAATAAGACATTTTTAACATTTAAAATTTAGGGCGGTTACTCGAAAAAAAAAATGTTAAGCCCTGCCCTAGTCAGTTTCAAATGTCTCTCCAACGTTCGAGCTCGACTGAACAGTCCGTTGGTTTTTGTTCGGCAGGTGCGGCCGCGGCGGTGACGTCCGCGGGCGGTCACGGTTTCGACGCACATCTACGCGGGCCCAGTTTCGTCATGGAGCCGCCGTCCAGAATTGAGTTCTCAAATTCGAGCGGTGCCTGGCTGGACTGCAGCGCGACAGGAAGTCCGCCGCCAAACATCGATTGGTCGACGGCGGACGGGCATCCGGTGAACGACGTTTCGGGCGTGAGGAGGGTGCTCAGGAATGGTACACTAGTCCTTTTGCCGTTTCCGGCCGCGGCTTTCCGGCAGGATGTTCACAGCGCGGCGTACAGATGCGTCGCGAGCAATTCCGTCGGCAGAGTGCTCAGCCGTGACGTCCAGGTCAGAGCAGGTAAGATGAATGGACTCTAGTGATTTATGGTGATTGATAGATTACGGGTCTGAATCTTGTATAGTACGTACTAAGGAAGCTATAAACAGGGCCTGCTTTCACTTGTCTAGTCCATATATGTATAGGCCCAGTTATACTTGTCGAGTCATGCAGTCACTATATCCCTACTCGTCTGGTCATATACAAACCCAATTCTAGCTATCTTTGATAATGCTGACCCCAGTCTCTTCATGTCTGACTATATAGAACGTCTATTCCACTTGTGTAACCATGTACAGTCCTGACTCCCCTTGTCTGACCATGTACGTCTCCTGTTTCACTTGTCCGATCATATACGTTCCCTGGTTCACTTGTCTGGCCATATACGCTTCCTATTTCACTCGTCTGAACATATACTGTCCCTATTCCACTTATCTCTTAATATCACCCCACCTAATGTTGCATCTAATTTTCTTTATCTTCGAGTGGTAAATTACATTAACGCTGCTTCTTTTTACAATTTTGATAAATATGATCTAGCAACAACCGTACGCGGTCTAAAAATGGAATGATACAAATAGAATAGCTGAATCAAATATACAAAATTAATAAACTCAATCAGAAAGATCACCCAAACGTTCTCCTCTCCGCCAATGCATGAATGTTCGATTAAACGCGCAGGTAATTGCCCAAATCAACGTTCTATTGCATTGAACCACGTATTTATGTGAGCGCACGTATAAATCTTCATTTATATTCGAAATATTGAATCGAAACGAACGCAATTGAAATCGTAATTTTTCCGTTGCAATTATATGATATTCATAATGTGTTGCATCGAATGACATTTTATATTGAATGTCTCGAAACAAGTTTAAATTTTGGTACGACTGGATTTCTCTGAATTTTTAACGACGCGATGTTTACGCTTTTACATATAATAGGTGGATGGAACCACGTTATTATTATTATTACTGCCCAATTTACACGGTATTCGACTCGGTATATTTAAATATTCACAGAATTTGTATAAATTAATACTACAGTCCGCTGTATTTAAATATGTATTCGCGATTATTATTGTCCATAATTCCGCGCGTACATAAAAAATTAGTCCTGGACACAGTATAAATTACTCATACCGAAGGTAACATCTCTAATGAACGAACTTTAGCAGTTAATAGAAATTATTAAGAAAATACATTCTGGCCTTTCATTTCTACGATTACCGCGAAAAATTAGAACTGTGGATATGCGTTTATCGTCGGTAGTTCTAGTGTTAAAAAACCGAATTTCAATGCATCCGGCTACGTACGGCTCTTTTCACCGTGGCAAACAACGTGTTAAAGAGCGACCCAAGCACAAACGACAAGTGATCCGTCCTGCGTCCCACGCGTCGTTTGTCACACGTAGGGGTCGAAATCACCCTTGATTGCAGGTTGTTTATTTTTCCCATCCCCCTACCCTCCCCCACCCCCCACAGGGCTACAGCGGTCGAAATCTTGAATCGCCGCTAAACGAGGCGAACGAACGTTGATTGCGACCCTGGGCGTGTTCCGAATAATAGGCGAAATAATTAAAAAACCATTAGGCGATGCATCGCCTCGTGTTCCACGGAGGAAGGAAGAAACGAACCACTACAAACGAAGGAAGAAACGAACCACCACCACGAACGAAGGATGTCGTGTACCTGGCCGGATGCAGATGAGACGGGAATCTCCTAGCCTTTCTGTAGAGTGGCCGCTCGTGCCCTGGTACTCGGTGTAATTACCTGTTTAAAAAAAGACGAGAAGGAAGCGGAAGAAGAAGGAGAAGAGAAAAAAGGAGGGGAGAAAAAATGCAATCTGAATGCAAATCCGTGGCAGCTGCGAGGTCGAGCCGACGCTTTCGGGATTTCGCCGACCACTCCCCCCCACCCGCCCCTACTCGCGGCTATAAAGTTCTGGCCTGGACGTGTGGCCCGTTAATTAAAACTTTACTTGCCTGCGTTCCGTTAAACGAAAGAAATTTCTAGTTACCGGCGAGTCGATTCCGGAACCTAGGAAAAATTTCTGCGACCGATAGAAGCAGTTTTTACGGACCGTTCGAGGAAACTTGAAGCTTGAATGGACTTCGAGGGATGGAGAACTTTCCTTGTGATCTTGGTGTGTTGGGTTCTTGTTGGGTCGGAAATGTGTATTGAGTAATTAAAAAGGAATCGAAAGTGATCGAATTATTAGAGATATTGTACACGTAATGTGCATTGTTGTGTGTTTATGTCGAAATTATTTACACATTGATAAGTGTTGTTATTTCCACCCAGCAGAAGATAGAAAGAGAAGCAAAAAGTTTACGAGCATCACAAGCACTTCCGTGGTAACCACGATTTCCCCCCCCTAACCCCCGGCGATAAAACCCACGACGCCATGTGACCGTCGCGAATAGCAAACGCGTCGACGACGCACACTCTGTGTTATCATTTAACCGAGATCTTTAACGAGCACCACCGGCCGCACACATACACGGAGGGGGTCTCAGGGTTTCCATTAATTTGAACTTTCGACCCAGTGCTACGGAAACACACGGCCATTCAGAGGATCCCGGTGGAAACGGCGGGTGTCGCGCTTGCGGCAATTAAAACGCGTTACACGGATCGACGAGATGGGGTTGTGTGGGGGAAGGGGATGGTGGTAGAAGGTTGGTAGGAGGGTGGTTGGATCCGCAAGCGCGATGGATCCCAGGTGATACCCTCGTCTACCCGTCCTCTAACATACACACAGAGAGAAACGACGACCAGGAACACGTGTACACGCGTGTCGAGTTACCATGGTGTATAGGGGGTAGGGGGTGGAGTTGAGGAGGGTGTCACGTCGTTACTCGTCGCGGCCGACAAACCGGGTGAATCTCGACGTCGGCGTCTGGGAAGCGGCGAGGCGTGAGGCGACGCGCGAGCGTAACGAACGCCTCGTCCTCGACGTCTGCCCCCCGGTCGTTTTTCTCCTCTTCTTCTTCTTCTTCCTTTTTTGTTTCTACCGTAAGCCCGGCCAGCAACCTCGAGAGGCACTATACTCTTCCTGGAGATTTTATTTACGGGAAAATTCCAAGGGCGACGCGGGGGCCAGCTGCCGGGGAACGTTGCTGCACTGACACGCAGACGTCGGCGACGATCCGGCGAAGATTCTCTTCTACCCCCTCGCCCCACTTCCGGTCTAACTGTGAAGTTTTCTTCGTGCAGATTCTCCCCTATGTTTCTGTCTTCGTGGATATTTTCTCAGTTTGGTTTTGTTATGTATTTCGGGGGATTTGTCTCTAGGGATGCGTCGGGGGAGGACAATGGGTAAGGTCAATCGTTTCGGTAGCTGATATTTAAAAAAAGTTGTTCCGTTTTAAGGGGTGTACGAATACTTTTGACACCGACTGTAGCTCGAAATTACATGTCACAAAACTCACGATGGCCATTTGGCTCTGGAATTGGTGTGGTAGCTTTTATGAATGGCACAAATCTGGTGTTACTTAACTGATCTTGACCCACCCTATTATCAGTTCAGAACAGAACACATCTGTATTCGTTCAATCGAGAGCCCACCATCGTGTACTAAACTTTATTAGTGAACAAGAGTTTTATAGGTTCTTTTTCGGCGAATTTTCAAAGTGCAGAAGATGTTCGTGCACCGCCTTGGGGATGAATAAAAGTAAATTTAGGGTTATTTGTTCGCAGTGGTGGCCCAAGCATACAAAGTCGACGTGGAGGTGATCGGGGGCGCATCGAGAGGATGCACCGCGGTGTTACGATGCGTCGTTCCAAGCTTCGTGAAAGATTTGGTGCGTGTTGTGTCCTGGCTGCAGGAGCCCTCGTTCTATATTTATCCATCTCTTCAAGGAGGTAAGTTACTTTTCTTGTTTCAAAAAATTTCATTTTCGTTGCAGCAAACTGGATTATTAGTGGTTTGCCGGGAAATGGTCTTGTTTTCTCTTTATATATATATTAAGAACTAAAGCCATTGATGGAAAGAGGGGAGATACATCAAAATGCTGTTTCAAGAAAATCGGCTTTAAAGTTGTCATTAGAGTTTTACTTAATGAAAAGTACTGCAATTAAAACAAAGTTTTTTGAAAGTTTAGTAATATGTTCTTCTAACGTTCTGAAAACAGAGGTCATAATTTGAAGATAATATTTGTTTCTTTACGAGCTTTAAAAACTACATGCCTTCTTTCCATCAATGGCCTCAATTATTCTGTTGTAATTCTTTGCTGTCTACTCACTCAAAAAGAAACATTATTTTAAAAATTGGAATTTCCACGTTTAGTCTAGGAAAATGGCGGGATACTGTTTTGATCTTTTATTCGTTATTCGATACTTTTTATCTAAATAATGAATTTGCCCATCTCTGGTCTAAATTCGCCTTAATATCCGCGCAAATGGCACTCGATTACTCGAACAGCCACTGTTCCACGTCGAAAACCAGGCCACACGATGTCATAGAATCGATAATTTTCATCTATCCACTGCGGACGGATCATTTTGGGACACCCTGTATATGTAGTAATTCCGTAAGTTTTATTATAACATAATAGAATAATGAGTTACTGTTCCATCAATCGTAAAGTCTGGTCCTACACTTTTGGCCGATAGTGTAGGTGCCTCCCTCTGCTCTCGTTGAACGACGATTTTCACGCAAAGTCGAGGGGGCCACCACCAGGGCATATTATGCCGTCGCGCCATTGCTTACCGGGACTAAAATTTAATATCCGGCCACGGGCGTAGCCACGGCCGCCGTTACACTGAAATTTAATATCCACAATAATCTTGCACCACCACCACCTTTCGCAGCGCAGAATGGACGGTGTAGGAATCGCGAGACCACTGTCGTACCAACTGGTCCAGAATGAAAATTTAGCATAGCTGAAATAATTAAAAACAAATTTCTTATATTTTCCAAAAAAAAGAAATCAACTCACATCTCAACCTATTATTAACCATGGAAGATTTAATCAAGAGCTACAACATTTTCAGAGCACCGAATTTTCATTCTGGACCACAGTGTGTCAGGGGACATTGACCTTTCCTCCCCATTTGTTTCAATGCATCCAACCGGCGACTCATTAATAGTCGTAGAAAATTAATTAGATTTAAGAACGTCGACGGTTGTTTCGCCGTTGCCGCCATCCAGTCGGTGGGCTCGAAAAAGATGATGCTACTTCGGTTGTAATTAAAACGGTAACGGCATCCCGGTCCCGCTCGCGCGCTATTAATTAGTAAGCTTAATTAGTAATCCTTTTAATTGGACGCGACGCCACCGCCGCCACGTTGTTAATGCCGTTTCGAGGATGATCTCTCGTCGACCCGTCGCGAATCTTTCCGTGATCTCCGGTTCTTCTCGAAGAGACGGTCGGTAATTATTTCACTTCCGATCTCTCTGGTCTTCCTCCCTCTATCTCTGTCGATCTCGTTTCCCTGTCCAGGATGCGTTTGTCGCTTTCGACTTTCATCGTTTCGATAAATTTTATAATTGTAGCCCGGGCACGACGAGACGGGAACCATATTCGAACCATTGCTGATAACCGACGAAAAGGGACGGAAAAAAGAATCGAATGTATATACAGGGTGATATGACAGGCCCTTTTAAATCGATCCCCTCGAATATCTCTGAAATTATTTGTGATACCGGAAAGTGTTGTATCTCAAATCCATTTGATGTCCTTACTTGCAGATCGTGCAAATTATTCACTCGCGTTGAAAGCACGATAATTTTTAAACGGCCCCAAAAGTAACAGTCTAATGGGTTGAGATCGTGCACTTCATAACTCAAAAACTAAGTTATACGGGACATATGTTCATACGACGTTTTTTACTTCGTATTAGTGTGTAGATTTATGCCCTGAAGTATTGACATGCATTTATGAATCACCCTGTATATGGGGTGCTGGTTCGTTTCCAAGAGGCCATTGTCGTTCGGTTTTCGAAACGAGACGCCTCTCCCCCTCCACGTACCAGCGTAACTTTTATACGACGCTGCAAAAAAAAAGGACACCGTAAAAACCCACGCTGCGCTCGCAACACGAAGATATTGGCGCGCGTGAAACTGCCGCCTGTTATCGTATGCTGCATAAAATTCCGCACGAGTATCGCTCTGTTACCGCCGCTCTCTCTCTCTCTCTCTCTCTCTCGATCTATCTATCTGCCTGCTTGGCTCACTTTTCGAACCAGACGTTCGTATTTTATGGTTCTGCCTATACCGTTGTCTTCGGAGCTCATTGGGGACTAGTAGATATCTTCAGAAATAATAATAACAATATTATTTAATTTAATGGGAAAATCCCTTCTTCCCTATGAGCAGCGAACGGCCTTAGTTTCCCAGATATTGGGACCAGGACTCCTCGTTAGATCCTTAAAATCCAGCCTTTCTATACACTGCCCGTTTCTCAAATATAATAAAATAATCATCTCGCATGAATTCAATCGAGTCGTGATAGATGTCGTACGAAAAAAAAAAACGGAAATAAGAAGACTGTAACAAATCCGGTACAAGCCCCTCAACGCGATTCCAATCGAAAGTACGACGTGCCCGGGATACCAGACGTCTCGGCGCGAAATTAAATTCTGCCAGTTTCTGTTGTCTCTTCCGTTTCCGCCGATCGTCTAAGCTCGCGCTAGACGGAAAGCCTGTTTTCTGACCGGAATCGTAATACGACCGCGCACAAATCGAAACAATGGTGGCCCCTCCTTGCGATCCCCTATACACGTACCTATGTATGTATATCACCGTTGCGCATCTATCAGGATCGGTTGCAGTTAATTCCGCGTTCCAACGTAGGGCTCACGTCACTATACTACGAAGAGCTAACTGAAAGTTTCTTTCTGTAGGGCGAATTGTTGCGTATCTACAATAAACCAACAATAGAAGGACAATTCAAATATTTGTAAAATCCTTTACAAAGAAATCAAAGAAATCAATTTGAAATATGTATAATAAGTTTTTGGTTGTAGCAACGTTCCTGTCGTCTTGAAGACGATATTTAGATGTTGACAAATTTTGGGTGGGCCAATGTTCTATTATCATTGTAAATTTCATAGCTCAGCTAAATTTATCTATACATAACAGAAGAACACCATTTCTTAGGAGAAAAATATGTCAAATCGACACAAGCGACGGATGAGGGTTAAGTAGAAACAGCCAACGATAGTCAGACACGCTGGTAACGCACTGTGAAACACACACAAGTGTCCAACGAATCGACAAATTAGATTTTCTAACAATCTAAGCTACCTACGAAACAGTTTCATTCTACACATTCGATTTATTTTCTTCCGGTAAAATTTCAGACCGTCATCGAACGTTTCCCCCGATGTCGGTGTTAGACATTGAAAATTTCCAGGCGAGAACGGAGGCGAGAAGTTTTAATTGCTCCGCGGGCAACCACGGATTCAATTGTCTTTCGCGTCAGAGTCGCGGCAGAGGGAGCTAGTTATTGTAATGCGTTTGAATTAATTTCTTCGACGGTCGTTTACTCTTGCCGGTCTAGGACTCGTTAAAAGGTAACTCGAAGATAAAACGTTATTGGTACAATGGTTCTCCGTTTCATTGTGTTGCCTGCGTCGGTAAACTGTTCGCACGTATTTCTATTTTTTCCTCCCTTCTATTTTTCGCGTATAGTTCTCCAGTAATGTTCGAATTGAACACTTTCACCGTGAATAAGCATAAAGGAATGTAACACAAACGCGATCCCGTACACACACTTTTACATTGTTCATTAAATGAACACACAGGAAGAGACGGTTCTGCTTTGTTTTCTATTACCTACAGGGATATCGACGGGAAATTGTACACATTAATTGGTCGTGTTTGTATAGACGGTAATGTGAAAATATTGACGGCCCCGCGATTGAAACGCGCGAAGAAGAAATTGTCAATTTCATAACAATCGAACGAACGAAGATGACTTTTTTTTCTGTTGGTTCTGCTCGAGCATTCTTGTTTACATTTTCTGCTAGCAACTTCGTGACAACGGCACGAAATAAAGAGATATCTTTTCGAATTTTTTTTGTGACAACAGAGTGTATGTCGTAGTCAAAAGTAGGAACTGCTGAACTATCAAGTGTTATTTTTTCAACCATGGTCACTAAAGATTTATGCAAAAATTTTATAGAGACTTTAATTCTTAAAACAAAACATTCTTCTTACAAAGCAACATCAAGTTTCGAGAATTTCAAATTTCGAAAATTTCAAGAGTTTCGAAATCTCATAAATTTTCTCTTTCAAATTTCAAGAATTTAAAAATTACGTTCCAGCCTCACCCCTAGACAAAATGCACAATCGAATTCATCCTAAATAAATTCTTGGTGGAGCTTCCAGCCAGCTCGAACGGTTATGCATATTTCTGTGAGCGTGACGTATCCATCTTACTAATACCGCCCATGGTCAGGCCGCACGTAATTCGAGGTAGCCGATGTCGGTTCTCCACCCCCGTTTCGTACATATACGCGTATGTACGGACTATACATAACATACATACAGCGGCCTATCTACTTTGAATAGATCCCAGGGTGGTGGGGGTGGAGAGTGGAGGGGTGGCAGGCGTGTTGGTTAGGTAGCATCGAGTGTAATACCGAAACTACATAACCCATCCAAGCCGGCTGACTTGGCCGACAATCGCTATTTAGGAGAGGCCGCTTATCTCAGCGGCGGTCTTAGCCGTGCTAATGTCTCGTGGCCGAATCTACTCCGACGGCGCGTGGATGCAATAACCTGTACGGAGCCGGAGATAGAGGGACAGTCCGTTAACAAGAGAGCCGTCTTCCGAGAAGGGAAGGAAATTAAACGGGGGAGGGGTAGAAAATGGTCGAATACCGACCGAGAGAGAGAGAGAGACAAGATACAGAGAGGAAAGACAATGGTGTTGTAATTTTTGGAGAACGAATGTGTATATGCATATTTCAGGTTTCTTTTGAAAAGGGATTCTAAGAAATTATAACAAAGAAATTATAAAAAAGTATCTTCCAAGTTTCATTAAAATCGGTGTTCGGGTTCGTTCCCTTGTAAGAATATCACAGTTAACGAGAGTCAAGAAAATGCGATACCATATCAGGGACGGTTTTCCTCTATACGCTAATCTTGTAACCGTGAACTATACATGTTGGACAATTCCCCGACTAGTGGAGGAGGTTTCGCGAATGTTTAGGATAACTACGGTCATTAACGTTGCTCCGGCTTATCTAAGGAACGAGAGAGCCCCGAGCTTAAACCGTGTGCAAGAACGACTAGATCGTATCCGACGTCGTCTAGGACAGGCAGGTGGAAATCCCGGAATTAGCATAATTATCGTAAAGGTAAAACTCCGTTCGATAACGAACGGAAAAAGTATCGTTTCGTCGGGCAATACCACCGGTGATTCGGTGGTTTCCGTGTTATTAAAGATAATACTGAATAGCGTGTACCGGTTTATTGGAAAACATCTGGACCAATTACTGGGCAAGTTTCGTTAGATATGAATAATACTGGAACTTGAGAAGTTTGCGTTGTATTCCCGTTGGTAGGACCGAGTGTATGTCTGTTTACGATAGAATTGTAGACTTTAATTTACATAATTTTCGTCGACATATAAAAGAACTGTATCTAGCAGTAAAATGAATGCTATGTGTCCCGATTGATTCCAGATGGAAAGTTTCATCTGCTGCCCACGGGTGAACTACTTGTTCACAGCTTAGAATTCAGCGATCAGATCCACGGATACAGGTGTCGAACGATGCATCGTCTCACCAGACAGGTCGTCGTCAGTTCGATAGCCAACATCAGGATAGCTGGTAAGTTTCACTCTAACTTACACAACCGTTCCACTAACAATTAAGTATTAGGTGAGTGCGAAAGTTTGATGGGTTTTGTTCTAAAAGTGTAGAGTGTAGACCGATAGTAATTTCAATTATAATTTAATAATACCACATAATAAATTCCATAAGGATTCTTTTATAACATTTGCATTTTCAATGATAATTTTTTATTCGAAAGAAAAAAGTATTTGGAACATTATTATGTAGTGAATTTATATGTATACATAATTGAATTATATTAATAAGGCTACAGTTTACTGTACAAATAAATCACAAGTGTTTCTTTTGTTTTGTAGTGTGTACCTATAATAACACTTCCGTGAACAAAAAGAATTAGCGGAACTTCCCGTAATTACCAGACGCGTTAATCAACCACCGATATTTTTTGCGCAGACCACAGAGGGGTGATGCCTCCGGTGATTCTTGAAAACTCCGGCGTTGTTCACGTCGCTCAAGATGAATCAACGTCATTAGTCTGCGTGGCGCAGGCCTGTCCCACCCCCGAATATCGGTAAGTTCCTATACCCCGAAGATTAATTAAGGCAATCTCGTTCGGGGGCCATCCAATAGGCAGGAGCTGAATCGGCCAAGATAGCGCTCGACTTTTATTCACGAGAATGTTGGTTAAGTGGCTGACTGAATGTAAATTGCCACCGGTTGGAACGTCAAAATTGAGAATCGATAGCGTCCATTTACGGATCCGTTAATATAATTATTGCAAACCTTTTGAATCAGTAGAATCTCCCAGACTCTTAAATTCCCTCTGGAAAATTCACAATATAATATTTATTTAACCGTTTTTTCGAATGAAATAACAGACGGGTTTATCTAAAAACGTTCCATCCAAGCGAAAGTGTCTAACGCGGATTTATTCGTACTTCCTGCAAGCTTTCACGGCGACCGTACGTCCTATTCCAGCGAAGCTTCAATAATATTGTTTCGAGACAGCCCGGTTCCGTCGTCGAAAAAACGCGCTCGGGCGCGCACACGTCTTTGTGCCTTTGAAGCGAACGTGTTCCCCCGTCTGGATACCACGGAGTTTCCCGTGTATCGTGCCTACAGAGACATTTCTGTCCCAGGTCCTTTTTTTTTTTTTTTTTTTTTTTTTTTTTCAAACTGGTAGAAGTGGAAGAAGACGTCGAAATGGGCGAAAAGCGCGACGGGGGAACAGGACGGCGAAACACAAAAAGCAACGCCTACGAAGCGTTTTCCTCTAATCTGTCGCGTTCTCCGTCGAAGGGTAAAAAGAAAAGAAAAAGAATGGAAGGGGACAAAGAATTTTCGCGTTGGACACGATGGCAGGGAGGAGATCAGGCTTGAAGAGGAATGGGAGGGGGGCAAGAGGGGAAGATTGAAGACGGGGAATATTCGAGGGTGGAGAAGGTAAGTAAAGGAATAAGGACTGGGCGCGACTTTGATCGAGGAAAAGTGGGAGCACTCGAACGTGAAACCTCGCGAGAAGCGGAGCACAATCGGAAACTCTCCATGTCGCTACGGGTCTACAAGGAGTCCTCCAGACCCTTTTTCTCTCCTGGGGATTTCCGGATCTCCTTTTCCCGGCGGCCGCCTGGGCGCATCCGCATGCACCAGGCCGAGAAATATAAAGCGAGAGAAGGAAATTTATTGGCAATATCTGCGAGCAAACCGGCACGGAGCACAGTGTGGTTCGGAGATCCGGAAAAGTTGGCAGAATTGTAAAAAAACAGATTTTTTTAATCGGAACCCGATAGATAAGAACATATTTTTATATTTTGAGTATGTTTGCCTGTAACTTAAGATGAAAATTTCTGTTTTCAAACGTTTTTGCATATCTTTTGCACGTTTAGATTTAAAGTCCGATATAGGATTACTTTTTAACTCGCTAACTGCATTTGTCCTAACTAATATCTTTAAATATTCGAGAAAACGAGGTTTCATTAATTTCTTTATGCTGTTCTTGTTTTTTTTTATCGTAGGACACTTTAATATTGGAAACTGTTTAAATCGAAATTATTAGTATTTTTTTTTTCTATAATTTTTTTTCTTTATCTATAAAACGGAGAAATGACGAGAAGGAGCAAAAGTGGAAAAAGCGGATAGAAAAGGTATAGAGTAAACCAAGGGAGGGGGTGGGTTGAGATATCCGTTGAAGGAGAGTTCGAGGACCCGAAGGTGGCTCGATCGAAGGCTGTCAAGAAATTGGGAAGCCAAAAGAAAACGAGGAATCTCCGGGATAAATGCTCGCTCCGCGGATGCGATTCTCGATGTCGTTTCTGGGTCGACGTACCCGAAAAGTCAGTGAAATTGAACATCTACCTCATCCCGCGTCCCGTCCTTCCTCTGTGCCGTTCCACCTTTATATGAAAAATTAATCACCAGGCCAAGAGCTAGGATAAAATCCTTCGGTAAATCGGGATATCTGTGGGTAGAACGAAAAGGGGTTGTATTGTGGTTAGTTTTAAGGATCGGGACGAGATCGACGTTTTTTTTTTGTTTCTTGATGCACTGGTCTCGTTGGTGAACGAACGATCAACAAACCCATCATTCGACTGTGCCTATTTATATTCTATTTTATATTGCTGATACGTACATAGATATTTATATTTAATTCCCTGAATTTTTTATATTGCTGATCAATAAATCGTTTTTTCTTCAGATGGTACGCACAAACCGGCTCCGAACCAATGCTGGTACACTCTGGACCAAGGACCAAGTTGCTGGGTTCCGTCCTAGCGCTCGAAGCGGTGACACTGGAAGACAGTGGAACTTATCGTTGCTCCGCCTCTAATCCCGGTGGCGAAACTAGCGCCGAAATTAGGTATAATCATCTACTCAAATCATTCGAAATCCCTTAAAAGATTGCAATCGGAAGGACCACTGAAATTCATGGCCCTGGTTTCTGATCTACCCGACCATAAGCAGTGCTCTATGAACAAAATTTGCTACAAGCTAAACGGAGTTACCCCCTCATTCTTCATTACCTACTACTAATTTATTATTCACATTTAATTCCGATTCATCGAGATAAAACAAAAATAAAGTATAATAATAGTACAACAGTGATATGTATATCATGGAAGAAAGTTGAAAGTATTAAAAGGCACAATAAGTAAGTAACCTTCTTCCATGGTACATCATTATTCCACTATTATTATAGATAAGAAAACAACCCAAATAGTGTTTGTTAGCGTAAAATTCCAACCCCTAAAATGTGACGTCCGCAATTCACGAAACGGCCCCGGACATTTCGTGGCACCGCCAGTCGACAAGCCAGGGACTACAAACGTAGAACTGTTCTTCAGGCTCATCGTGACCGCCCCATTGCACGTAGAAGTGACCCCGCCGTTGCTGAGCGTCCATTTGGGCGGTAATGCCGAATTTAGATGCGAGGTCAGCAAGCATCCGCAAGCAGGACAGCACTTTGTTACCTGGTACAAGGATGGTCGTCAGCTTCCGGGGACCGGCAGACAATTAGAATTGTTGAGGCTCAACGGAATAGGCAGGGAGGATCGTGGAATGTATCAGTGCATAGTCAGACGGGCGGAGGGCGACACCGCGCAGGCATCCGCCGAACTTCAATTGGGCGGTACGTAACAAATTAATTTTTCTTTTTCTCGTTTGACAGTCAACGTGTATTACAATGACAATACAGCCATCAAATCGATCAGTCGAAACAACAAATTTAGAATTACTCTCAAAATGACAAGGTCCCTCGAATGTTCATCGATCACTCACCATTTCGAGAAAAGCAATTTCAGTGGGTTTCTCTGGTCATGTGGAGCAGTTTTCGTATACACGGAAATACTCCAATGCACAAGCGAACCGTCGTCATGGGCTCGGTTTGATCCAATTCATTTCGATCGCAATTACTAAATTCCACCGTGCTCAGCTTCATTTCGACTTCGAACTGCACAAAGGAAAATTACATGGAAAGTTGCCGTGTGCAGTTTCGATCGGAATTGCAGATGAGGATGGGTTTCGAATAGGGTCTATGCATACGTATAAATTCACTTTTCCCGGTTGCGCTTCTGCAACCCTTTGCCGAGGGCGGCAAAGTAAATTGGGTCACTCGCGAAGATTCATTTTCCGAGACACCTTCATGCTTCCGCGTGAAGTTCAACCCGTCACAATTACCGCGTGTATTCTTCCTCCGGTTTGCTTTGCAAAATTTTTCATCAATATTTATTAACGAACTCCGACGAAATAAATTCGCGACATGGGTAAACAGTTCTCGTGCTGAATAACTGGAAAAAAGTAAATATTCATACCGATCGAATCAATTTCGTCCTTCTTGGGACGACTGCAGATTCTTATAAAAGGAGTGATGGAAGTATCATAGACATGCACTGTTCCAGAATTTTAATAATTTTCACAGCAGTTTACGAACTCGTTGTTTTCGACTGTTTTAATCGATTCAATCAAATTATTCAAGACAAATTATCCTTCCCTCTTCATTTAACCCGAGCAATTCGTTCACTGGACCATCGAGTGTCCCCATCGATCCACCCCGTACACTCACCCCCCCAATTCGCCCGCCGAAATACTTTCACCGAATCGATACGACCGCGAATCTGGGGGCCGAGCGAAGGTGTTAGAAGTGACACACAATACACAGCGTGGAGAGCGTCAAAGTGATCGGTAGCCAGCGTTACCGATCGCATAAACCCTCGGAACTCGATTATCGTGGAAAGAGCAAGTCGACCACGTGGCCCGTTACCTCGAGAGCGCGGGAGCCGCCTCCGCTTTGAAGTGGAAGAGGCTTCTTTCACGGCGCTTTAGCCACTATCCCTCCCCCCACCTCTCCACCCTCTGCACCCCTCGTCGGTCACCATCCACCCCCTCGTACGTTCAATTCCGTACCGTGAAACTCTCTTTGGTAACCGCTACGTTGTATCTCTCTTGCCCGTTTGCCCTACATCTGGACCGCCCAATTATGTGTATGGAGGAGCGGCGTATGAAAGAGGAATGTCCCGTCGAGGAGTGGGGGGTAGGGGGAAGGTGCAAGGGGGTGGCGCCGGGGCAAAGGGGCGGGGAGGGAGACGCGGAAGAACCTGGCCGGGGAGGTGGGCCTTTGAAACAACAATGAAGTTAGCGTCTCTCGCTCGTCAGCGTCGGTAATGCACAGAATTTACGTCAAAGGGAATTCGAGCAAACGGTGCCATGGTAAGGACGCAACGTGGCCTGAAGAGAGACAGAGAGGGAGGGACCAGCTCGTTGCAATTTCGCGGACGGCAAAGGAGGTGGGGCTGGCGGGTACGGGGGTACACACCAGGTAGTAGCCTGTAATACCACGATCCGTGGGGCGAGGGAGGGGGAAAAAGAACGTCGACGAGCCAAGTTACCGTGTTTCGTTGTTACTTGTCGGTGCATCAGGACCAGGGAACGACTTGTAACGAGGGCGTATACCGTGCGCTACTCTATACATCGACCAACCTACAGCGAGGACAAAATATATTGCAATAAAACATTACTCCTCGATCACGAATATCCTTGAAACACATATTCCCTGACGAGCTCGCGGCCATCTTTTAATTTTCCACGTTTCGCGCGGCTGCAAAAAGGGGCCGACAGGATAAAAAGGGACTATTCACGAATTTACGTATATTAAAAGCCGAGGCAGGCGGTGTGAATATTACGTTCCCGTACAAAATTATGGGGCTCAGTGCGTCATGAAATCCCCCCTCTTGCGAACTCGCCCGACCGCCTCGTATTTTGTCCACGAATGAAGATTCACGCATTCGAGAATACGCGTCAGTCTGTCAACGTTCCAAAAATCTCGGAATTTTTTTCGTTAAATTGTAATTGTGCGCAACAGAGTAAATCAGAATTAATATGCAAGTACTCTATGCAAGCTCCTCGACAATTTCTTTCAGCGTACTACACCTGGACGGACCCCCTCCCCCTTCCCCCATTTCCGTTCGCTTTACCGCGCAATACCTTTCCTCATGGCACAGTCACACCGGAACACGAGCAGCAGCGTTTCATCGACGTCCAAGGACGAATTCTCGCGGATACGTTATCAACGATCGCTCGGAGGCATCGAGACGAGGTTCATCAATTTCCTCACGGATCCACGATCACCGTCTACCGGGAGAGGACCCCCGGCCGTATTCACCTAGGCGAGAGATGTACTCGAGCTATCTCCTCTCCTTCCCCGTCCCCCCTCTCCCTAAAACGACAGAACTGTCCTTTGTAACGCGACTGCCGAGCATTTTTTAATGACGACGAAATCGACACTTTTAATTACGAAGTAGTCCCTCCTCTCGTCCTTGCCACGCCCCACGCTCCTAGGAAGGTTCCTCTCCATTTCTTCGATCTTGGGACTCTCCTCTCCCATTTCCTCTTCCTATCCCCTCACCACCCTCTTTCTTTACAGCCCTTTCCTCGTTCACCTCCTCCCTTCGTCGTCGTGTCGTCGTCGGGATAGAAACATCGAGAGACTAAAGAGAAGAAAGAAAGAAAAAAAACAGAAAATATTTCCCTGCGCTTCCATCGCGGCGAACCCATTGTCTTTTCGTTTTCTATCGAGGGGGGCGCGCTTTCAGGAATCCAAGAATCTCTGAGCTGGGTCTTTCACGCTCGTGCCTCGCGAGCTTCTTTCTTCGAACCAGCTCTCTCCTCTACTCTTCCGTTGATACACCACCCCACACGTTTTCCATGTTCCACGATGATAAAAAGTGTATCCATCTTAACGAGATGGGATTCGATTGCGCCTCCACCTGTCATTGTACCGGGTCGAATATACTCGGGAACCTGATATCACTGACTTCGACTCTGAATTTCACTCTCTTTCGTTTCGTCACTACCCACTCTACTGTATCTCCTCTTGGTCTTTACATGTATATTCTTTTCATCCCTCGAGCCCCGAATGAAACCACGCTATTACTCTCGGCTGATCGAGATCTCTCAGTCGAGCACGGAAATACCGGCGGCGTGCCTGTTAAAAGAGAATTTTGTCGCGTCGTCTCTCCAGCACGCGCTTCTTTCGATATTCCTTCGTACGACGAGAGGCGCCGCGCGATTTTTCCGAGTGTGCTCGTGATTCCGATGATTCTTTGAAGTCCCGTCTCGAACGCGGAGGCGTGAAAGTGTCGCGCTCGGTAAATGAGAATGGAGGGAAAAGGGTGGATATGGATATCGAGGAGTAGCGGTACTGTTTCGGGTGCGTAGAGTCTACGATTTTTCTTTTTTCTTCTTTTTCGTCCTCTGTGGATCGCGCGTACAAACGCCTGAAAGCTGTTCGGGGACGTGTGCACGGATACGTGTCGTATAATCGATGGAAGCACTTTGATTCCGGCGTATTTTCATTCGCAGACCGAATATATGTACTTGGAACCGATGCTTTTGAAAGTGGAAACTGTTGATTTTAATGTTCGACGACGATTCTGAAGGCGTTGCACAATTGTTGGATTTTTAGTATACACATAGGGTGAGTGACCCAATTATAGACAGATTAGTGACCCGGCGAGCTTATTTTTCTTGAGAAATAATAAGGAAATATTGATAATTGTTTTGTTTCTCGAACTCTCTATTGACTTTCATTTTTCGGGAATCTCCAAAAAGGAATTTTTTATGGAATAATTGAAAATTAGTGGATTATCGCCAAAAAAAAACGATACATTTTACCGGGTTCCTTTTTATTTCAGATGCGCCGCCGATGCTGTTACATTCGTTTATCTCGCAAACGATGCAACCTGGACCAGCCGTATCCATGAAGTGTTCTGCGGCGGGAAACCCGACACCGCAGGTCTCCTGGGCCTTGGACGGCTTTCCACTGCCAACCAATGGAAGGTAGGAGTTTCATTTAATTATGCGACATCGAACGCCGTGGTGAACTAAAACGAAACAAGAGTAAAACGATCTATATTAACGTAGATCTCTTAAAGTATTTATTTATGTATAGTTTGCAGTGGTCATATCTTTGAGGAGATAAATTAATTTAACCCTTAACTGCAGACCACTCGTCTCGGGGACGGAATTCGAATTTTTCTCTCTCCACCGTCATCTAGTGGAAAATTTCTGAAGCTCTAGTCGTTCGAATACCTTTAATTAACAGTAAAGGACGCACCATTTCCGAAGCTTTAACGAAAAATAACGTTCAGTTGGTTATTAAAAGTATCACTCGTTGAAACACAGGAAGTCATTCTGCGCGATTTTTCTGGTTCATGTGTGATCGAACTGACAGTTTATTCTGGCTTTTATTGATGGCATATATAAAAATACGGTAAAAGATTCTAACAACATTTCAAAAAACATTGTCGATCATCTCGAACAAACTAGAATTCTGAATGGAGTATATAACCATTTATTTAATTCTCATTTTTATGACTTACAGTTATATCATAATTTACCCTTCCGTTTTATTCGTCAATGATTTTATTGAGCCCCGCACGCTGCTGGGCATTCTATCGCGACCTATGTGTAATTAAAAGTACGTTCCGTTGGTAAAAAAGTTGCTTGTTCACCGGGACGGCGGAGTCGAGCGTGTGTTAACCGTGGAAACATTTGTAAATTAATGAAGGGAAACGGAAATTCTGCCGAATGTACCCTTTATTAATTAACGAATATCAAACTGGGACCTTCTGTTGTGGACATGATAAAATTTATCAAACCTTGCCGGATTTATTCGGTTCAGGGATCTTGCTCGAAGTGAAATCTGTATCGTAAAAAATCTTGTATATAAAAACGAGTATGTTAAGTTATTAAAATGAGCAAATGATTAAATAATGATTTTTATCAATTTCCTGTTTTACATTCAAACATCTTCCGCGCCATTAGGTTAGAAATTTTCGTTTACGTAATAATGTTCATTGACTGTTGAACTCTGTATCTTTTTCCTTTTAAGTTGATTAATTATATTTTTCAATTTTTCCAATTAAAATGTGTACGTTCTAAAAAGGCGTAGATATTAAAAAGTCTAATTTTCTCATATGCCAAATATTTATTAATCTTATTATCATTTAAAATTCGACTTTAATAGTTGCGAAATTTCTTAAAATCGTGAAATGTATCACAAATAGAAGAATTCATATTTATACTTTAGGGGAGTTTTAGAATGAATTGTTTAGTGCATTTCATGTAAACGGGTACCGTTGTGCGTGTCCATAGGTTTGTCATAGGTCAATACGTGACAGTGCACGGCGACGTCATATCCCACGTCAATATCAGCAACGTGATGGTGGAGGACGGAGGAGAATATTCTTGCACCGCCGAAAACCGTGCCGGAAAAGCCACTCACGCTGCTCGTCTTAACGTTTACGGTACATTGAACTCTAACTTTAGTCGTTAAAGTCACCTGAGAACGTTCAAGAAGTATGCACCTTGAAATTCCCATTTAAATATATTACATCCGTCTAGGATTAAATGGATCATCTGAATGTTAAATTTGTCTTTGTCGTTCAAAATTTCAGGAACAACCGCGAGATTTACTCTATGTTTCGTCGTTTAAGCGGAAGATTTTCTAAAAATACTGAATTAAATCGAAATACCTATTGCCTAACGTGAAATCTTAGTTAGAGTCGAAGTAGTATAACCCTGACTTTTCGATTTGTATTTATATAAGGAATATGCATGTTGCGGATTGTCCTATCTTTTTGGGACACTTTGTACATAAACAATTGAATTTGAACATAACTATAGCTGACTTTATCATGCAAACTGTTTAGCCATTTAAGGATCATCAAGTTTAAATAGAACACGTCGATGAATCAAGCGTGGACGGCATGAAACAATTTAGGGTACAAAATAATATATTTATGTATTTTCCCGTTACAGGTCTTCCATACATTCGTCTAATTCCAAAGGTGACCGCCGTGGCCGGCGAGACTCTTCGTCTGAAGTGTCCGGTCGCCGGCTACCCCATCGAGGAGATCAAGTGGGAACGAGCGAACCGCGAGCTGCCCGACGATCTACGTCAGAAAGTACTGATCGACGGTACCCTGGTGATCACAAGCGTGCAGAAAAAGGGGGATGCAGGAGTTTACACGTGCTCGGCGAGGAACAAGCAAGGACACAGCGCGAGAAGATCCGGCGACGTAGCAGTGATCGGTAAGGCCTCATGTTCGATCCCCTATTCTACGATTGTTGCAGGTGATCCAAGAACCGGGCGATGATCCAATCCACTGGTCCTACAATCAGAACGAACCAACAAACAAAGGTACATTGCCTCGAGGAAATGTGGTACGGTATAAAAGAAGAGAAAAAGAAAACAAAGAATTTCTAGGATTCCAAGCTAGGCTAACGTGGGCCTACCCATCGGCTCTCTCCCAAGGACGTCACCTGTTTATCCACTCGTGTTATTTGTTCTCTCGTGTTCACGAGCTGTCGTTGTTGTTTATTCATTTCAGTTCCTCCCAAAATTAGCCCATTCACGACAGATCGTGACTTCCAACTCGCCGAACGTACCACGTTGACATGCTCGGTGACCAGGGGCGATCTGCCTCTTTCGATATCCTGGCTCAAGGACGGACGTTCGATGGGCCCGTCGGAGCGTGTCAGCGTGACCAATGTGGACCAGTACAATAGCATACTGATGATTGAAAGTTTATCTCCAGATCACAACGGCAACTACTCGTGCGTGGCCCGTAATCTGGCCGCAGAGGTATCGCACACGCAGCGGCTTGTGGTTCATGGTAATCCTCCTCTAGGCCCCCTTCAATTTTTGCCCGACGAGACCGCCTGCCCGCCCGAATATCCGTGCGAGTCTGTTACGTGCGTATGTGTTACGCGGTTCTGCCCATTACACCTACTCGAGAATGAAGCGCGTGAGGATCTGAAAAACACAAAAAAAAAAAAAAAAAAAGAAAACATGCAAATCACCTGTTATTCACAAATCCAAAGGACGAAGATACGATGTCCTCCCGCATCAAGTCATGTTCACACGTTTTTGCTTGCTCCCCGGGACACCTGTGTGCGCCCGGATTTGTTCGCGCTGTTCGCCGCTGTAAATAGCTTCTTTGGACGGGTCCGTTGAGAAAAACAGTCATTGACACCCACACGGCCGGTTCTATGGTGTTCTTGCGCGTTCATTCGAGAAGGACTTTTTTATCTAGGACCGCCTCGAACGTCATCCAGGAACGTAGAGACCTGGTGTGACGTGTTCTCGATGATCGCTCACGCTTAGCGTGGCTCATCCTCCTTGCACGAGACCTGCCACTATTGTCTCCCATGTTTACCTCCTTGGTCCTTGCATCGACCCTTCGAAAAGACGATGGTTCGTCGTTGCATATACGTTTCATTGAAATGGACTGTGGTGAGAACATTGGTTCGATGAGAAGTAAAGAATCGACAGCAATCGTCAAATTATATTTTTGATACAGTTAAAGGTCCGTGAGAGTTTGATACTAGTGTTTCAAATACCACACACACTTTTGGAAGGGTCGACGAATGCTAGCTCTTGCGTTGAGAACGAGCGTATGGTGGTGTGAGTGTGCGATGCAAACTTATGTGTACAAGGTGTTTTTTTTAAGGGCGGGGCAGGAACAGGTCCGCGGCGGGGCCAACCTCTCTCTCCTCTACATTGCTACGTTACTATACTGCCTCTATTGTACATATTCTACGTATATATATATACATATTATATTCTATATATATCTATACATATACATGGACGTACTACTGTCTATATAATATATATATACATACCGCTACTTACTATGGAACCATATATATATACCTATATAATGATAAGAGTGAAAACACAAATTATTTTGTACCTGGTACAAGACCAAAAAAAAAAAAAAAAAAAAAAAAAAAAAAAGAAAAGAAAAAAAAGGTTCTTGCGTTTTTTTCGGTGCCATCTTTTTCTCGCTCTCACGTATGGTTCTCTCTTCTCTCTTGACCTTTTCCAGTACCCCCTATTATTGCGCCATTTACGTTCCAAGAGGGACTATCCGAGGGGATGCGGACGCGGACGGTGTGCGGGGTCGCGGCGGGTGATCCACCCCTCACTATATCCTGGCTAAAAGACGGCCAAAATCCCTTTCCCTTGCCGCCAAGCCTGGCCTCCGTCGCAAACGTCTCCCAACTGGATTCCTATTCAAGCTTCCTCAGTATAACGAACCTCGCGGCCGAGCACTCCGGCGACTATACCTGCGTCGCCGCGAACCCCGCCGCCGAGGTCAGGTACACGGCCAAGCTACAGGTAAAAGGTAACTAGATGATCGGCGACCCTTCTCCATCGATATCCACCACCCCCACATCCCACCCCCCTTTTTCGATCCGACCACCTTTGGTCATCGATCTCGACGGAAAGATCACACATCATTTCAATACACTATAATGATCTATGAATTATCTACTATCCAGAGAATAGAATTTTATTTTTCGTTAGGCGCTTGGTGATTGGCGTTTAATTGTTTGACGTATTTCGATTCACGGGTTTGATTAGCCATGTTCTCCGTTAGTCGATGGAATTAATTTTTTTTTTAATCGGTTCCGATGACGATCGTGGTGTTTGAAATGTTTTCGAGATAGTCAGTAATGAAAGAATTTTCTTGGGGATAGAGGAATACTAGTAATTATATTTCCGAAGGATATTATTGCCTGTGGAAATATCAGAATTTTATTTTCTTTCCTTTCAGTTGCATCAACTACTCGGCAATTAATGTCAAAATTACCACTCTTTTGAGTCAAAGTTAGATTTTGTGGTTAAATCAGATGACTGAATTTTATTTATGGATACTAGATAATATTCACTATTAGAACCTAAAAATTCTCTGTCAGAATATTTTAGAGAAATAGTACTATTTCTCCAAAAAAGTGTTCGAAGTAGAGTATTTGAAGCGTCCTCGATGGATAATCCCTTGAAACAGCTAATCGGTTTAACACGCCGTGTTACAGACGGGATAGAAACGTTCACGTCCATAAGAATACATCAGGGAAATTTATTCTTTGATCCTTTGACGGAGTGAACATAAATCAAAGTTACGAACAGTTTCCAATCGACGTGGACGTCGGGGTCGAGACCGATCCCAAGGAACCCCCGATCCCCCAGCTACATCCCCATCAGAATCATTATCATCGTTCTCATCATTCATTTAACCATCATCATATCATATAACGCTTACTAACTCGATCCCTTGCGTCACCATCGTTAATCATCCGTAGTGTTCTCGCCCGGATCGAAGACTAGCCATTTACGAACGGAGAGATCGTCTCGAGACCTGAACCGGAAATTACGCGAGAATCCCCGTGATCGTGTCGTAACTAGAGCGACAAAAAAGTCCGCGTTCCGTGCGAGATCACGCGTTTTTCATCGGAACGAAAAAAGAAAAAAGAAAGAAAAAACCTCCTTTTTCTGGTCATATCGAGGTCGTATCCCAGTATCCCTCGATCCCGTGGATCCATCCCTCAGACACAGTGTGTATTACATTTACGTTGCTTTGGCTCTCTGGGAATGCGTCGGTATCTCGTGGACCCCCCGAGGTTTGCTTGACTTGACCGAATCATAAAGGTAACAGTTTGCACCTTTCCTTATTTTTACTCGTTTTGATTTTCGAACCGGAGCAACCAACCGAACCTATCGAAAAAAAAAAAAAAAGAAAAGAATCTACAAAACAAAGAGAAAAAAAAAAAGAAACTCTCTTCTGGCCTGCGTGCGTGCGTGTATGTGAGCATTTACACACATTTTTAAATCTGCATGGATTCTTCTTTCTACGACGTAGCCGTGTTGTGACATTTTTTCTGTCTGCATCACCTTATTATTATTACGTGTCTGTGTACATATTACTTACCTTAATTATTAATCAAGCGTTATCTTTGATCACCCGAGTACGAGCACGTGCCACGTCTGCGCTCTCACGAACAAAAAACGTATTTATACATATATGTATCTAGTATCTTCACGTACTTACCTATTGCGGCTGGCTCTCCTTTGGGCTCGTTCGAAGGCAACCACCCCCCCCCCAACCCCTTTTTTCATTAACACTTATGCATGCTTTGTCTCTGTCTCTCTCTCACTGTCTTTTCTATCTGTCAGGCTGTTTTTTATCTTTCCTTCTGTCGCGTCGAAACGTAGGAGGAAAGGGCACACGTATATAAAAGAAAAAACATTCCGTAAAATATCTTGAAACAACAGCAAATTAAAAATATCGAACGAACAGATTTACGGAAAGTGTGAAATGCAATGTATTGGGTAAACTTGTAAATATCAATCGAAGTGTAGACACCATCTTGAATCTGTGCTCCGGCGTTTCGACGCGACTCCGGTAATGTAGGCTAGTAGTACGTATTATTATTAATTAAATTCGTATTCATCGAACTAGTCGTTAGAAGCGGGTACTTATATATATCTATATATACATATATATATATACATATATTATTATTCGCATTTCCACTATATATATATATATATATATCTTTCGGTTTACCGCCGACATGCTCTCATTCCGTACCCAAACACGTTATCCCAGCCCGAATTTTGCGCCTTTTCTTCCGAGAGTTCTACTTGTTTGACCAAGTATCTTATACAAAAAAACACTGCATATACACGTAAAAACACACACACGACAAACACATGCACACACACACACACACACACATATATATATCTATATATATATATTATATTGTCGCACGCGTTAAATGCGTGGCCGGTATTTGCCGTCTTGTAAAACGTTGGAACTTCCCACTCACAGTATCTCGCTTGTGCAGCGTTTTTTTTCCACCACCGTAATAAAGTAGAACCCGCCAAACAAACAGAAAAAAAAAACAGTACATAACCCAGAACGATAAAAGACAAAAAGCCTCTCAACACTCTCGACAATGATCGATGCGCGGCGTCCGAGTGGCCCAAAAACCATCCACCAACCAACACCATCACCAAACTTCCGGTCTCTCTCTCTCTTCCGCATTAGACGATTGCACACATTAGTGGCGACTCTGTCAGCGTAGCTAGTGAAACATCATACTACTTGAATAACTCGATAGACGCTTCGTTATTGTGCACACACTATATATATATATATATATATACCTGTTCTTCTATTGTGTTTTATTTATTATTTTTTTTTCTCTCCTACGTTTGGTGCTGTTAGGTTATTATACTCGTTCTTAAATGGTGTTACTCGAAACAGAACCGCTTATATATTTGATGACGCCTATATACGTAGAGAAACAAAAGAAAATAAAAAGCAATCCGTCGTGTAAACATCGTCACGGAATTCAGATACGAATAATCACGAACGAAAAATAAAAAACGGTAGAACGTGTCTTCAGCGACGAACCCTCGAAGACGCCACGCATCGAACGGTACCCCACTTATCCATACTGTACCTCACCCACGAACCTTCATTCACTTTGTCTCTTAATGTCTCTCTGTCTCTCTATCTCTCTCTATCTCTCTTGTCACATTCTCATAACGCGAATTGCCATCCACCATTGCAACGAGAAACGGAAAGTTGATATGTCGAACAAATTTTTACCGCGGTCCACGCGTTCAAGAAAACATGTCGATCCATCGAATGGTATCGTTTCGAATTTTTTTAAAGTTAATGATACATACGATAGAACCTCGTCGACGAAAAGCCACGTCCGTCGTTCAGTTTTTTTTTTTTCTATTTTTTCATTCTCTCTCTCTTTCTCTCTCTGTACAATGTGTATCTCGTTGTATACAGTATATACATGTATACGATTCTCGGTGCCTCCATTTCCGGACGAAACGTGGCGACCGTCGACGAGCTCTTCTCTTTTTGACCGCGCTTTTCACGACTTTGTCACGTTACGTACCTGTCTCTAAATCGCTAACGACCAGTAAAGAAAAGAAAAGACATATTTATTCTTGATGCGAGCCACGCGATGGATACGTTTAAAGCTTGTCGGTCTGGTTTTCAGTGCCGCCGCGATGGATCGTCGAGCCCACCGACGTCAGCGTCGAGAGAAACAAGCACGTCGCTTTGCACTGCCAAGCACAGGGCGTCCCCACTCCCACTATCGTTTGGAAAAAAGCCACGGGTGAGTTTTTTTTGAAAATACAGGGTGTCCTAAAATAGCTTCGGCTCCCAAAAATGAGGGGTTCCTGGGATGATCTGATACAACTTTTTCCTTAGCAAAAATGTTCTTTGAAATATTTTTATAAAGAATCGTTTATAATTCATGGTATGGAAATGGAATCTTTTGCGAGGCAGGAAGCAAATCCGGTGAATACGAGGAGTTGCGGGAACGGGATTACACGAAAATCCTCAACAATGGTTCCCTGCTTCTGCAACATGTGAAAGAAGACAGAGAAGGGTTTTATCTCTGTCAGGCTAGCAACGGTATTGGAACTGGTATCGGGAAGGTGATCCAGTTAAAAGTGAACTGTAAGTTTTGCATTGACTACTTCGAAATATTTCGTTGAGTCAGCGATACCTTCTAACATTTGTTCAAATAATATTAATAAATGTGATTGTAATTATTGTGCAACCCTTAATTATAACTAGATTAATTTCCAAAAATTGGAATCAAATAGAAATTTGTTTACCTTACTAAGTTTCCTCTAAGTTTCGACAAAAAATAAAAACCTCGATATTTAACAGAGGTTTATAATGAAATACTTTTCTCATACGTATGTCACTTTAAGAGGCTTAATCGTTTTTAACATGTTCATAGCTTCTCCATACTTCGCGGCACCTTCGAGGCTCGTCACCGTAAAAAAGGGTGACACCGCGACGTTGCATTGCGAGGTACACGGCGACACACCAGTCACCGTCACCTGGCTAAAGGGCGGAAAAATCGAGTTAAACCCCTCGACAAACTATCGGTAAAGCTAAATTACCTTTTGCAAGATAATGCACGGTACTATGAAACTTCTAAGAATCTAATCTATTAGATCGTATAACGGGGAATGGATAAACTCTGATGAAATTTTCAAGTGAAACAGACAACTATTAGGTTGTTGCATACGAAATGATCGTTCTATTACCAGCTAAGGAAATGGCTGAACTTAACCGAGATTGATTCTCTACCTTAGTTATCGTTAGTGTTCAACATGTAATTGATTTTACTGTTATATTTGGACTGTGTACCTTCAAAGAAGTTGAGTAGACTGTGTAATTTTGCAACAACGAAAGGAGCTATGTTAATCATTTTCATTCATGAAAGTTACGTTCAAATATACCTACCAGTGAAATTGCTCATTTCGTGTGCAACGAACTACATAATAATATACAAAAAAATATGCGTACTTACTGATAATATACAAAAAATCTTTAGTAAAATAAAAATAAACCATGTCGCGAAGCATTAATATATACGGAGCAGTAGTTATATGACAAAAGAAAACATTCGGTACTTTACACTAGTCAATAATAATTTTAAATATTCTGTCTGAATTTGTTATGAATATATTATTGTGTTTAAAGAGTTACAGTGAAACGAGAAGTAACACCGGACGGTGTAATAGCCCAACTGCAAATATCTAACGCGGAAGCATCAGACAGCGGTGCATATTTTTGCCAGGCGAGTAATCTATACGGCCGTGATCAACAATTAGTGCAACTCCTCGTACAAGGTACGATGACAGAATATTAGAATAAAGATTGCTTCTTGAAAATACGCATAATTACTGTTTTCTGTTTGTAGAGCCACCACAGCCACCGAATTCATTGGAGACCGCGATGGTCGCCAGTCGTAGTATTAACGTGAAATGGCAGCACAAGTCCCAAGACACCGGTGAGGTGACCAAATATATCCTCGAATATAAAGAAGGCACTGGTAAATATTACTATATCACCTCAAAATTCCTATTAGCACTGCCAATAAGTAATCCACCGTTTCTTTTTAATAGACTGATATAATACAACTGAAATTTAAAACACTTTTCCACTTTCTTCTTCTTGTTACAATCGACTGGAAACTTCAAGATATCATTGCCGTATCGGTTCTGAAACGAGGGTATCGTGTCGCTTTGTTAATTTCGAGAAGCTTCGCTTTAATTTTGAAAATCTTATTGTGTCGCCGTAGTCACGCCCCAATTGAGTGCAAAGGGTTAATATATATGCATAGTACGTCGAAATGAAGACATTATTAACATGGATACATCGTGACAGGTGGTATGTGGCAGCAAAAAGAATTCACCGGACCGCCCCTTCCCTATGCTGCCCTCATAGACGAATTGAAACCGGCGACCAGGTACACGGTTCGCGTGATAGCCGAAGGACCAGCTGGTAGATCTGTACCATCCGCAGACCTGATTGTCAGAACAGAGCCCGAAAGACCAGCCGGACCGCCAATCAAGCTTGCAACGACTGCTTTGTCCTCCTCTGAAATCTTAATCAATTGGTCGCCACCGTTGCCCGAGCTACGACACGGTGACATCCAGGGATTCAATGTTGGCTATAGGGAAACTAGGTGAGTACACCGAGTTGATTAATCGATCTTCTACAGAAATCATTTTACAACCGAAATTTATAAATATCTACCTTGGATCGTTACCATAAAAATTGTGTTGTTTAGAATTGCATACTTTTTATTGATTTTATTCATATATAGGAAATATACATATACAGTCGGTATAAAAAGTATTCGTACACCCTTTGAAACGGAACAACTTTTTTAAAATTGGTCCAAATGACTTGAGTTCTTTTGTGAAGTCAGAGACATTAGTTTATTAAATGATGTCTAAACAAAAATTGAATAAGTTGCAATTGGTTGAAATCGCGAAGAAAATAGTAAAGGTCGTTTTTTACAACTTTTTAATCTGAGGCTATAATGAAAATTTAATAAATACGTATCGAACATTTATGCTAGTTATATATTTTTGTTAAATATTTTTACCTTCAGTGGATCATAGAAGACCGAGGTTCTTCTTATAAGAACTATGTCGTAACGTGATAGAATTTAATTATGCAAAATAGTTCGCGATGCGTTCAACGCTTCGAGGCCGGGAGTCCATTACGTTGGGAATCTTCTTTCAGCTCTACGAATCCCTCGTACAACTTTAGTTCGGTATCCGGGGACGGGGAAGAAGGGGGCGCGGAACTTCGGCTGACAGGGCTTCGACCCTACACAAAGTACACTTTGGTCGTTCAGGCATATAATCAAGTTGGGTCTGGACCACTCTCTGAACCTTTGCTCATGCAAACTTTGGAAGACGGTGAGAAATATAAAAAAGAAGAATAAACGTGGTGTAACGATACCTAGATTATTACGCCAATCAATGTTTGAATAATAATTAATAATAAAAAAAAAACTAATTGATTTAGTACCCAGTATGCCACCTGAAGCCGTAAGATGCGCTGCGCTCACTTCACAATCTCTTCAAGTGTCGTGGCAGCCACCGCCCAACACGCACAGCAATGGTATTATTCAAGGGTACAAGTTGCACTACGAACCAATTCTGGCGGATGTGTGGCGTAGTGTCGATGAAATGGAAGTTAGTACAAATTATATACTATTTTTGACACTTCGAAGTTACGATTGAACTGTTGGTAATTCTAAATTTCCTTGTAGGTTCGCAAGACAAGTGTTCTGACCACTGTTCTCACGGGATTAAGGAAATTTACCAATTACACTATTCAAGTGCTGGCCTACACCAAAATCGGCGATGGAGTGCCTACCACGGTTACATACTGCCAAACTGAAGAAGACGGTATTGGTTTTTCATCATACACATTTAAAATCAGAAGTCATTTCGAATGTGTCGAATGTGATTGATGTGTTGGGTAGATTTTAATAGACTAAATTTCTGTTTATAGTACCCGGTAGTCCAGCAGACATAAAGGTGGTGGTCAGTTCACCGCAGGCGTTGTTCATCTCTTGGTTACCGCCTTTGGAACCAAACGGGCACATCACAAAATACAATCTATACACGAGGTACCGATAATAAATTCAAATCTCATAATAGAATTATAATAACCTTCTATACAGAGTGTCCCAAAATGATGGAACAAGCCGCAACATGCATATTCCTCGAGCAAATACAAATCGTTATGATGTTGCGACTTGTCCCATTATTTTGGAACGCCCTGTATGACATTCAGTTCTAATCGAATAAAAAAAAATTGAATAGATAATAGATCCAGCGTTAAAGTGACGTTATTTTCACAGGGTCGTGGACGGCCGAGAAGAACTGAATCATGGCAAAAGACAACTGCCAGCTGAAAGCACATATTTCGAAGCAACTGATTTACAGCAACACGTAGAGTATCAGTTTTGGGTGACCGCTAGCACCCGAGTAGGCGAAGGACAAAGTTCCAGAGTGGCTGCGCAGGTGCCAACGGATCGTGTACCGGCCAGAATCACCTCGTTCGGGGGCCATGTGGTGAGACCGTGGAGAGGATCGGCGACTCTAGCTTGTAACGCGGTCGGAGATCCCACCAGAGAGTGGTACAAAGGATCCACCGAGCAAATTCGTACTGATACGACCAGAAACATACAGATCTTACCGACGGGAGAGCTCGTCCTATCGAATCTACAATCCCAAGAGGGCGGGAATTATACTTGTCTGGTGAAGAATGTTAAAGGGAGTGACAAGTTGCAGTACACGTTGACTGTACAGGGTGAGTTAAAAAAATGAACAAGAAAAGAAGCAAAAAAATGTTTAAGTAATTTTTCCTCTGCTTGTAGTACCGCCCAATGCACCCGTTCTTTACGTAACCAGTTCTACGTCGAGCAGCATCTTGTTACACTGGAAACCCGGGCACAGCGGAGGTGCTCCGCTAACAGGGTACACGTTACATTATCGAACGGCCCATGGTAACCTGGACGAGCTACAATTGTCTCGTCATGCCACCAGGCACGAATTGAAGGTACCAGAATCCACTTGGATGCAACAATAAACAATTCCTACGCGATTAATTTCTCAATGAGTGTTCGAAGGCTCCTCGGCTGTCGGTGTTCAGACGTCATCCCCATCACTGAGAGGGTGGAGGAGGTCACCTGTGAAACCACTCAAGCACAAAGTGGGAATGACGCCTGAACACTCAATGCCGAGGAGCCTTCGAACACTGATCGATGATTTACTGTACCTTCTAAACTTTTCATGAAAATCTTCAGGGACTCCTATGCGGGAACACCTATCAGCTGTACCTGACATCCCATAACAAAATCGGAAGTAGTCCAGCGTCCCCCGTCCTTTCGGTTCGGACACAGGGTCAGGCGCCAGGTATACCAACCGCCGCGTCTTTCCTCAGTCCGAACTCTACCACTCTAGTGCTGCGTCTTCACGTGTGGCCCGACAACGGCTGCCCGATCCTCTACTTCGTGATCCAGTACAGACCGATCAACGAGTTTCACTGGATGCTCGTGTCGAACAGCGTCAAGATGCAACGACGTTTCGTCGTGACGAATCTACAGCCGAGCTCGGTTTACCAACTGAAAGTGGAGGCGCACAATGTGGCCGGTAGCAACCAGGCCGAGTTCACGTTCGTGACGTTGACGAAGGAGGGCGGTAAGCTTGGAAACAAATGTGTACTACCCGCTTTTTACAGACCGCTTCCAGAGGTGAAATTGCTTAGAGACGCGAATGATTGATAATTATCGACTTCAAAGAGTCATATCCAAAAGCACTGTGCTCCTGACGCTTTCCAGAACCGCCACCTCCAGAGCTATCGAAACGCGGAGTCGTATCAGCGGTGCCGTTCTACGCGGACGTAAGGGTGCTGCTGCCGCTGATCGTGTCCACCGTTGCTTTGCTCGGCGCTGCTGTCCTGGTGGTCCTCCGCTGGCGAACCAGTAAGTTGATATTACCGTTTGATCTTACAAACCGAGAAATTTCAACTCTGAATACACTGTACAGTATACCACATACACTGTAGGTTTCCTTGTTTCAAACGGTGAATAAAATCGTGAAATTTTCTGTCATCTGCACATCGCAGGATACCTCGGCGACAGGGTGCAACGGCCGATGAAAGAGTCCCAAGAGAACCAGCAGAACGCGGAGACCCAAAGGGAACGTTACTACGCGACCATTCACAAGGTGGCCCTGCAACAGGCGAATACGGGCGGCGGGCCCGACAAGATTCCAGGTGAACCTTTGTTACGATACGGACGACAGCCAGGTTTGGTGCTATAATTGTTGTTCAGGTAAAAAGTCGCACGCGTAGCGCTGTTTGGGTCTTGGACGAACCTGTTAGCGATCGATTGCTGTTCACGAGCGAAGGTGGTTTAGTTTATCACATCTTCATCCTGTGATGTCACTTCTTTTTCTTCGAATCCTTTCGCGCGAGACACTTCGAATCCAGCGACTCGTTCGTCGACTACATTTACATTTTCTTACAAGGGAAGACACGGAAATGTCCCCCTCCGATCTTGATGAAACTTCGTATGTCCGTTAAGCAGTCAAAAATAAGGGATACGTATTTTTTTTTATCTACGCCCATGCACGCGGCGCCGTTTTCTCCGCAAAGAAAGCAAAAACGACGACGGTTAAATTAGCGAATGTCAACCGAGAATCTAGAACCGAACGCATCCGTTCACACCAACAAAAGTCATCCCGACGCGATTTGAAAGGTAGGCAATGCCTCTGGTGGGTTACAGAGACAGCGGAGGACATCTCGCCGTACGCTACGTTCCAGCTTTCGGAGGGTGGCGGGGGAAGCCTGGCAGGGTTGGGAGGGTTGGGAGGACTGGGAGGCGCGGCGGAAGCATCAGCAGCCGGTCTCCACCCGAACAACACTCTTCTGCACAGTTTCATGTATCACGAGCACGCCATGACCGAGGGATGCGCAAGCCCTCCGCCTGCCGCGACGGTGTGTCATTCATTTTCTTACTTACAAAATGAGAAACAGATCGTAAAAGTATGGCCGATCGATCCTTTATGGACGCCATAACCAAAAATCAATCCTAACGTTTCAGTTCGTAGCGAGAAAATTTCTTCTCATTTATAAAAACTTTCGAATAGGACTTGGCTACCGCGTCTGTTCATTACACTCTGTTTCTACTTAGAATTACTACCGTGATGAATACACGCTTTTCAGATTGATTTTCAAAGTCGATTATCTCGAAAACAAAGTCTCGTCTGAACAAATTTTATTTAATATTTTCGACTTATTCTTTAATTTACAATCGCCTTCTTTCTTGTTATACAACTAGTTACCGGTCTGTATAATTTGTCCAGTTGATAGTTAGTCATTTAGTTCGTTCTATTATCTTACTCCTTTTACTCAGTGGGAAGGGGGTTGTGTTCTTTTTTTTTGTAGAGCATGAAGAGCGTTTCGTCGAGGAGACGACAGCAGAGAAAGCAACAAACTCCGGGCGACGTCGAGAGCGACGAGAGCGAGTCTGACCCGGATCAACTGACGAGCTCTCGCACGGAGTCTTCCAATCAGCTGGACGCTGGCAAACTAAAACACAGTATGTTGAAGTATCATTTCGATTATTATCGTTCATTCATTTTTTTTTTGGTTTTCTTTTTTATATGAAACATCGACTATTCCCATGCTTTTTGCCAGTTCGAGCCGTTTCCGACTTCATCTACCACGGTACGTCGAGCACTTCATCAGATATCTCACCCATGTCAGAACAGAAGTCGCTTCCCCGAAGAGGACGATCTAGGTAATTAACAAACGAATATTGTTTTCATCGATAGCTTACGAAACAGGCACACGTACTTTTTAATCATTTTCAGTACTTACCACGACTTGTGTATTTACATACATACATATTTCTCTGAAAATTTATTTTTGAAAAATCTGCTTTACTATATTAGTTGCATTATTATATTATCTAATATAGTAACAAGCTGATCTCGTTATCTGTCCCGTCAGATGGCATGTTCCAAGCAGGAGCTCGTTACGCACGCTCCTACCGCCGATATCGGTCGCGGAGACGACATTCGTAGGCAATCAGGGGAACGTGGTGGCGGGGAACGGCGATCGTTCCGAGCGGCCGGAGCTCAGCGAGGCCGAGTGCGACATCGACTCCTTGAAGAAGTTGAAACTCGGGCTAAGGAGCTCCCTATGGTCAAGACCGAGCACCCAGAACAATCCTTCCTCCGTCCCCCCCCCCCCCCCCCCCCCCCAACCTTATCCCCCTGAGTGCCTCAACCCGGCACGCTCCCGTGTGTGTCCCCACGGTAGTCCCAGATACATGTCCCCCGTCCGTTCCCATCCGAGAACCCCGTGGTCCAAAATCAATTTAGGTAAATAAATCCTTCTATCTTGTCGAAACGTACCGACGCGATAATAGCATAAACGAAGGGAAAAAGAAGAAACAAAAAATAATACGAGGACGCGCGTGGCGGTCGAGCACGCCTCCACGCGTCCCTTTCCCGTTTTCTCTCTTTCTGTCTCTCTATCTTTCTGTCCGTCTCTCTCTCTCTCTCTCTCTCTGTCACTCTATCTTTCTGTCTATCGATTATAGGTGAACAAAAATTTAAATTATACTCGTTGTTGTAAACAAATGGTAACCCGTTCATAGACAACGAGGAGATGTGTGAACAGATCGATAACGGATCGCGACGTCGAAAGTATCGGGATGTATGCAACGTGAAAAATCCTCTCTAGTCTAGACGCTCCGATGTCTCTGCTCTCTCTCTCTCTCCCCTCTTTGTCTATGACGCAACGAGACAAATATTACGAGAACGTGCGCGTGGTTGCGTGGAACGAGCGAGTGAGCGAGTGAACCGATTGATCCGATGGTGGTGTTTGAATGAGTCCGATCGCGTTCAGGGATGCGTGCCACAAAAATACGACAATTTGCTCAGACCGCCGCGACACGTTCGCCGTGCGGGCGACCCATTCGAGACCAAAAGACTTAATCGTACGGGCAGACCACGGGAATGTCCTTTCGAGCACGTACACACACGGTGACCGTGGAAAACGACGCCGTGTCACGGTTCTTCGGGTTGATTTCGATGCCGGAATCGAACGATTATTTTGTCCCTCCTTTGAATATCGTCTGTGTACAGTAAATCGTCGATCATTGTCCGAAGGCTCTTCGGTACTGACAAGGGAAAGAACCCTAATTGTCCGACTTCGATCTTAATGGGGTTTTGTAAGATGATAGTATACAGGTTCCTAATGAACGATTCTTTTTCAATGCAAGTATTCTTCTTCAAAAAGATTGAGTTTTAATATTCGTCTAGTGGTATCTACGTGTTCCCTCGTTTCTGTATCTGTATCTTTTTCTTAACAGTATTTTAAGATAGCGATCACAGCAACGATAGTAAGATTATGTGACTTTATCACAGAAACATTAACCGTACGTCGATTAGATTAATGATTGCGTAACTAATTGTCACGAAGTTAGTAGTCTATCCTCCGCTAGATGCAGACCGAGAGCATTTATTTTGGTCACGCTGGCCCACACACCATCCCGTTCTTTGATTCTAGACAAGCCCGTCGTTATTTTTTGCAACAGCGTTCTTCGATTGCTTTCAATCGGATCCCCCCCAACATCCGTCATCGGTTAATCATTCGTTGCGACACGGTTGGAACTTTTAAGCGCCTGTTCTTGAGCAACGTTTCATGTCTCTGACACTGTTTATCAGACATACCCATATACTGCATCAGAGGAATAAATATAAAACGATCCAAGATATCTTATGATTAGACTGCGAAATTTTATGCAAAATGATATTTTCTAAAGCAATTCATACAGAGAGGAGCAAATGTAGGTATTTCTTTCTTTTCTTAAGTATCATACTGGGTTCAGAATAAACTAGAAAACGCATTGGATCTGATGAAAGTTTTCTCCTGTGTTGCGGAGTTAAACGATCAGACTTCACCATTACGTTCCGAGAATGAAATCGAGAACAGAATTTTATGTACATCGGTCCATAGACAGTTTACCTTAAAGGTATGTTTCGATTCGATCTTGTGCTTTCAAATGGAACACTTTTAAAGACCTCCCAAATCGTACACCTATTAACCATCTTCAAAATACACCGATAAAGTCTAATCGTTTGCCTTCGAAACACCCGGTATATACATGTACAACAAATAATCACAGATTACGCTCAGTGGACGACGAAACGATCCCCCTTCGACTGCCAAGACTAATTTTCTTACACCCCCGTTCTATTACGTCACAGCGCTGGGTAAAATTTATACCTGCGGGCTAAGCACTGTCCCCGCCACCGTTACCGTGGAATAACATAAATGAAAGTCCGAGTTTCTTTGTTTACGAAGGCAATACGGCGTGAAAGAGAGATTAGAAGGGGAAGTAGAAGCGTGAGCAGCCCCTACGCTGCCCAGCGCTGAATTCCGTCTTCGGGAGCTGGTCCAATGATTTCGCCCCGCCCACTTGCCCTCTATACCCCTCCCAGAAGCGAATCGCCGGCGTCGTTTTCAACCGAAACCCGTGCTCGCCTGTGTTCAGTGCGTGCGTGGTGGTGTTAGAATCAGGGCGAGAGTGTACGCGAATTCGTGCGCGCTGATTTGGCCGCGAAGCCCCGTTTACACGTTCAAATAATTTGCGCGAGTGAACTGTGTTGTATTCTATGTAAAATCTCCATTTTACACTTTCGAATAATTTGCATGAACTGACATTACACGTTCAGTTTATCTTGCACAATCATTTTAATTTCCTGCATTGCCATCACATTGCGCGGCTAGTAGTTTTCCATTAAACAGTTTAGTGTATATCTTCGTAAAATGGTAAAATGTTGATGAAAATTAATAAAAATTAATAAAATGAAATATTTGCTCTCACAAATGCGATTGCAGAAATCAGTTTGCGCGAATTATTTAAACATACAAGCTTCCGTTCAGACGCAGCGATTATTTGCTCGCGCAAAATATTTTACTGTGTAAACAGGGCTTTAGGTGTATTACGTCGACGAACGTCGTCGGGCGACGATGTTTCTTTGCGCGACGCGCCGCCTTGAGGCGGCCACATTGAGAGAAAAAAAAGAAAGGGGGTTGGAATCTGTTGCATTGTAAAGTTTATACCGTACGTCTAAACATCGTTGATTACTTTAAGTCCGTTATTAATCCTAAGACTTCTAAGTAAGACACACACACACACACACCATTTTCCGCGCGGAGACCGCGTCCGCTCCCACCTCCCCTGCCTCTGTACATTTCTTCCGTGCCGACGGAACAGAACGTCTAGTCCCGGGGCTTCTTAAACTGGGAGAATTTGGGAACCGCGAAAATATCGATCAAGTAAAATTATAAATATATCAAAGAATTACTTGAAATTAAATGTTATGTTGTATGTTTATTTTATGTATCTACGTATGTATATAACCGGGATCGCGCAAAATTTTCTCGAGTGAAAAGAGGTCGCGAGTAGAAAGAATTCTATAGAAGCCCTGGTATTCTAAGGTCTAGACGTCGACTGCGTGTCTCTCCTTCGACGATCGGTTTCTATACCGTTTAAAACCGGTATCCTTCTTCGAATGTCGCGCACTTTTAACTTAAGACTCGCCAACTATTTCTAATTCTAAGCGCTCGATCCCGCCCGTTCGCTTGAAGACTGTACGCCCGTTCTTTTTATGGACTTTCCTATCCGGCGACACGGGTCCACACTGGTACCCCCGTAATTCGACGATTTGTGGGGGGAAGGAAAACAAAAAAGAAACGTGACATTGGGTGTATTCGCTGTTAAAGGGGTTAGGGGCTAACGATTTTCTTTCACGACTGTGTTCAATCAAAGGCATTTCCATTGTTGATGATTCACCGGAGGAAGAAGTGATTATCGTATGTTCGTTTGTAAGGTGTATACTCACGCGAAAGTTTATACGTATATTGATAATAGAAAAATAGTGTTTTAATTCGACTGATACCGAACGAATGATAGTCGTATTTAGTAGATTGAGGTTGATGTCCTTAACGCGAGTTTGTCTTAATATTACAAGGGAGATAATTAATTTGATCAGCTGTCTCTGTTGTACCTATTTCTTTTTCGAATAGACTGAAAAAAAAAAAAAAACGACGACGAGACCGTCTTCTCGGAATGAAAGTTCAAGGAAATATGACTCGCCTGAAAGGTACAATACGAGAACGAGATATGTTCCGTGTCGTGGTGAACGTGTTAAAAGAGTTTCCATGGCTTGTTCCGGAGATCGCGAATATCGACGGAACCAGATGTACAGATATTCGACAAAATATAAGTGTTCATTCGGAGACGTCAATAATTGTTTACCATTATTGACGGGCATAGTTTAGCATTAAATTGTTGGACCTGTTATCTCACAGGCTGAGACTGTAATCGTTAAACGTTTACTGCATCTTGTGTATTACTTCAATCGATCTGACTGACTAATCATTCTTGAATCTATGGATACGCGAAAACAATATTCGAACGTAATTCTGGTGTTCCGTTTCCTTCGCGTATCCCTTCAGTTCAGGAAAGATGTTCAGGTTACATACTCCGTTTCTGACGAGGTATCGATCTCTCAGCTACAAAATGATATCAGAATCATCGATGTTCGAAAGCATATCGATCACGTTGGACTCGAAGACAAAAGAAACGAACAGTCTCGCGCGCGCGAACTGCAACGAATCCCCGAGCGTTCTCCTCAGACTGATTTCGAAAGTAAAAATAAACGCGTTTCTAATGTATCGTGTTCCGCTGGGCGAGAAGTTCCGAAAGTTCCGCCGACACTGCCATTCCGCAGGCAACACGAGTGTGCCAAAAACCAGGGCCGACCACTTCCTATTTCTCGGTAACAATAATTTTACGCGATCTCTATCGATCCATAGGATAACAGCATTTTTTCGATGTATTTTAAAACGTGTTTACCACGACCCACGCTGAATTCGATGAATTTCTTTTTTATGAAACACTATATATATATATATATATATGTATACACACCACTGTCCAACAGTTTCGAATCGTCACCTAGTCTTCGATTCTGTTCCAATTTCATTGCTATATAGGTACACTGACGGTCAAACTCGGTTTCCTCTAGAGGAAAAAGCAACGTAGGGGTAAGGATCTTCTACCGCTAGACAAATTTATTTCAAATACAGAAATAAATGTTAAACCGAATGTTAATTCGGCATAAATTTCAGTAACTCCGAGACCAAGTGGTAGGAGGTGTCTTTCCCTTACATCACTATTTCCCCTAGCGAAAGCAAAGTTTACTCGTGAGAGTAGATATTAACAAAAAAAATTATTTTCGCCTACTTTTGTCACAAGTGCAAAATTCTTCGTTCAACGAATACATATTTTCATGAATACATACTCCTAACGAATAACATATTCTTACTAGAGATTTTAAAACACTTGTTTCATTTGCTGAACACTTTTTTGTTGAACGACACGAGACCCTAAACTTTGGACAATGGTGTATAATTCAGTGACAGCTAAGTTCCGGAAAAGTGTGCGCGACACTGCGAAGACGAGGGCGTAGGTATACGTATATATAAATTTATATAAATATATATAGATATATATATGTACTTAAAGCGCGTGTATGCGCATACATTATGATACGTACATGAATGTATATACGAGAAGCACGTCAATCAAACTCGTAGAGTTTCGATTTAATTTGTTAGGGCCATATACGGCGGGATGCGGGTATCGTTTATGGGACGATAACAAAGAATTTTTGTACAATTTTTCTTATGTCACCAGCCGCCGACCAACGTCCGCCGTAAAACGACGACTGCGTACGATTTTACCGGGTTCTTTCGGTATCCGATTGTTTGTTTGTTTTTTTTTTTTTTTTTTTTTTACCACCGGGAAAACCTGGCTCACAAAACTATACTTTAGAATAACTATAACAGTCGGCGAAGATTAATTTTTTGTCAAGGCAATGAACGCTTGTTCGTCTTCTTAATAACTCAGTGGTGGAATTTTTTGTTTGTTTTTGATTTTTAATACATTCTCTTCGTGTTCGGTTGATTAAGTTCAATATGTAATCACTCGGTTAACAGATTAAGTTGGCCAATAATTTCGTGTCTGATGAAGTATTAAGAATTCAAAATACATGATTCACTTGACAATGACAGCGGATACTTCACGAAACTATTTTATCTTGTATATACATAACGTAAAAAATAAATGTATAGCACTTTAAATCTCTGAAGGTCTTAGATTCCGTTGAAAGAATACTAATTTGGGTATCGAATATCATTTTCGGTCAATATTCGATCAGTTTGTACAACTCGATTGGAAGCGTTCGTTGCCTCGATCCATCAAGTCTTCGCCAAAAAGACGTACTTTATTTGAACTCGAGTTAGGAGCCAGGGATTTCTCGGACAAACGCGACCCTACCGCCACTAATTTTCCCCTCGTTAATCGTTGGGTCAAACAATCGAGCCTCGCGATGCTGCGAACGGTGCGTTTTAATTAAATCGGTGACGTAACTCGCAACATCTCGAACTACACGTATACACTTGACGACCTGCGTACGCACAATTGATCATAAACACGCGGATCTACGAAGAAAATTAATGTAAGGTCTACGATAGTGTTCGACGAATATGAAAGTGTTACACCTAAGTGTACATGAAACTCTAAACTATGCTGAAGAAATACTACTTTAACCCTTTCAGACCTAAATTTTCTTTTAAGAGTAAAAGAAAGTATTTGATCACATATTTTAACTTGGTAGACTGTCTAGATAATATTTTGTTTGTGAAAATTTTTTTTTCACATTAAGAAAGGAAGTTTATTATTCAATTTTGAATTCACTAGACCCATTAAAAACATTCGAAGCATGAAAAAATTCAAATTTATAAGAAAAATATGTACCTGCAGCACACTGTACCTAAAGCTTGGTGTGAAACTGTAAGAAACCTGATGTACACAAATATGACCACCAGGGTTGAAAGGGTTAAAAAATCAATTGAACGAGAAATTTAGCCAGTGGCATCGATTTATTATCTGAATCTCGATTTTATTGACTTTTCCGTCTTCGTCGTATCAGTTTCCATTTTCCTGTTCGATGAATTTGCGGTTACGTCACTAGTTTCTCCGCGTTCGCGAAGGATCGAGGACGTTGGACAATGAGCAAATCAAACGAACAATTATTACTGTAACTATTCTTAGCCTCGTTGTAAAAAAGATACGAATAACAAATTGAGGAGGTCACGGTGCGAATGTGTGGGTGTGCCTGCGAGTCAAGAATTCGACGCTGTGGCGTATGTGGCCAGGCGCGAACGAGAAACACGCCAGATTGTCGGTCATTTTCCTTTTTGTCACTCTCACGGGGGATAATTGGACGTGGTTGTGGCCCACGGCATGAAATTGTATTAAGTCGATGGTACGGCGTTTCGAAGCATTGCGTCGATCGTAGAATCGATCAAATAAATTGATATCCTGTAAAGTATTATAAAACACAATTCAGACTCCGACCGGTGTTTCATTTCGATCCCTCGGAAACGTCTCGAATTGTGGAATTTCTACTTATAGGAATAACGAATAGATTGAAATACGAGAATTAGTAGTGGTTTAAGTTTAATTTTTTAATAAAAAAAAAAAGAAAAGAAGAAGACACATAACAAATGCACACTGTTGTCGAGAAATGGCATATGGGGGGATGAGAAAAATTCGACTTAGTATCCAGTTAGTTCGGCGAACGTGGAATCCATGTCGTCGCAGATATATTTGTATTTTTCTTTTTCTCGGAATAGAAAGTCTGGAAAACGAACGATCATGAATTTCCAATAAAGAAACCGTAGAAAAATGGAAACGAATGAGATGCGTTGGTACCGTACCTTCTCTCGCGTCCAGTTCCTTCGAAAATACCTTCACCATTTTCTCAGCGATGATCGCCCTCTTCTCGGCGGTCTTCAGTTTCGCTTTCAGCTCTTTCAACTGCAATTTAAATTCTTCCACCCTTTGATTAGCCTAGGACAATCCGAAAATGATTCGAAATAAGAATCGAAGAATATTTTGAGCCATTTGCGTGGCACGTTACCTTCTCCTCCGATACTTCTAGAGACTTCAATATGTTGCCAACAATAAACAATTCGTCCTCTCGTTCCATGATCTTCCTACGAATCATTATGTTTTCTATTCGGATCTGCGCGTATTTTCGTTTTGTTTACTCACGCCTCGCTCGACTTCACTCGGTCCTCGGCGGCTTCCAATTCATCCTCGACGAAAGCTAATTTCCTCGAGATCTCGTCCGACTTCGAGTCCGCATCTTCGGCAATCAGTCTTGCTTCTTTCAATTGTGTCATCAGTTGGTCCATCCTTTCCTCGTCTTGCTTGCTTCTGTTCTCCAACACTTTACAAATACTGCAAGGAACAAGTTTTTACTCGAGCCTATCGATAAATCATCATAAGAATAAAGATCATAAAGAAACCTGACTTTCCCCCACTTTTCTAGTATACAGCACATTTTAACTTTATTGTTTCTATTTTGATTGTTAGTTAATATAATTGAGAATATGCGGATTCATACGACTAACCGTTTTGCATCCTCAGCGGTTTCCATCGCCTGCGCCAGTTTCGTCTGTGCCGTCAGACGACGTTCCTCCGATTTCTCCAAATTCTGTAGACACTGTTGCATCTTTCTGTTCAGAACTGCCAGTTCCGACTGCGTCTATTACCGTCAAAACAAAAACCAACAACATTCCGATAATATACTGTCTATACAATACGATACACTATCTCTTTCTTTCTGGTCAAGATTTCTGATCGACTTGTCCAGCTGTGCTTTGCTCAGCTCCAAATCACGTTCCATCTGCGCAAATTTCTTCGCCAATTCCCGAACCTCGTCCTTCAGTTTCTCTTCCCGCCGATTCGCCTCTTTTGCCTGTTGATCGCACATGTCTGCCCTGTCCATCGCCAGATCCTTCTCGATCTTTAGTGTCTGCAGACGTTTCTTGATCGCGTTCATCGTTACGTCGATCGATAAACCGATTTCTTCAATGAGGATGCCTCTATCCAGGTGAGAAAAATTCGATCGGAATAAAGCTTTCGATCGAGATACCTTTGTGACAAACGAAACTTTTCAAGGTTGGTCGAATTGCTATTGAAAAATGGATTCTAGCAAAAGTATATCATATACGTGAAACAATGTTTTATAATAAACTAAATTAAAGTAATTCATTTGTTACGGTATTTAAATAAACCGTCGTAACAAGTGACTTGACTCGATTCCTGGGACACTTTACCATTCGCCCGATAATACACTTTCGAAAGGTATCGTTAAAATTCAAACACTCGAGCACGTTTTACAGGACCTTAACTTTACTATTTTTCATAGGGAAAACAATGATTTTACGTACTGTCGTTCGAACGAACAATTTTTTTTCTGGAGACTGGTTCCTTGCGGGTCTTTCAAAGCAAAGCTCGCGGGTTACTGCACTCGGTGACCGGCGAGGACAATGCTTTATAGACACAAAGAAATGCAAAAGAACCAAACAGTCCGTTTCTTTAGTTAGACGCAAACGGATTTCGATTCACACGGAGGTCGACGTTAACGGGTACAGAAATTTCGAAATGGCCGCTGGTAAAATCGATCGTATCATCATACGTAATTGCAATTTTTTAATCGGATATAATCTTATTATCCATAATAAATATGAAAAAAAATCTAACTACCGCGTTGTTATAGAAACTACTATATAAATTATCAATGAAAAATGATCAATACTATAATGAAAATAATTCATCCATTCCTATTTTTTCGTTTGAATATCTACGTAAACGGTTACGTTAATCTGTTAAAGGCCATGAAAATATAAAATTTTAGTAACTTACGTTGACAATTCCTGTGAGCTGAAAACAATTCGATTTTTCTGTATTTAACATTCTCGGAATGAATTTTTTCAATAGGTGTGAAACAATCGATAAAACAATTTTGAATGTATTTTTAAATACCGTTTATTGAAAATTCGAATTCGTTATACAATGATAAAAAGGGGGGCGCAGAATCGTGCTTGCTTTCAAATATCGCGATCTCCTCTTCGAAATCTCTGAAAGAAAAATATGTGATCTATCGTTAATTCTATTTTAAAGAAAAGAAAGAAAGAAACAAGAAAGACTATCGTTTCTGAAAGAATAGTCGGGGATCGGGGCAGCGCCGAGCGGGTTAAAGTATTATCAAAGCGTCAAAGCGAAGCGAAGCGGCGATTCAGCGGAAGCTACTCTGTCCTCGTAATAACGAACTAGCGATATCCATTGTTTATTCGCCTGTTGATCCGCGGAATTAGTGTAGCGAATGGATTCACAAAGCCCCTGAATTTTTCCGCGACACGCCAGAAACGAGTATTAGTCGCGCGTAGCTGATGGGCAGACGACGACGCGAGGTCCGAAGCATTTTGGTGGCCATGTTAAGTGTAGCAAACAAGCGAAAGGAGCACAGAATATAACAAAATAAATGAAACTCCGTCCCGTTCCGGGACTTTAATATCCGGTCATTTCCGCGAACGTGGCGTCCATGTCGTCGCAGACCGCCTTGTACTTCTCCTTTTCTTCTCTGAGCTCGTCTGAAACAGCGAATCGACGATCAACAAAACGGTACATAATTCTTTTTAGTTTCATGAACATCGAACTCTGTGTCCGTTGATTTACCTTCTTTCATGTCCACCTCCTTCAACAGATTCTTCACCGTTCTCTCGGCGAGAACAGCACGCTTCTCGGCTTCCCTCAACTTCTTCTTCTGCTCCTTCAGTTGTACCTTGAAGTCCTCTACTCGTTGGTTAGCCTGAATCAAGGAGATTTTAAAATGTGATCGTGTCAGTTGGAGTAAATCGATCGAGCACGTTCAACGTAAAGCCAATTACCTTCTCCTCGGATACTTCTAAAGACTTGACGATATTCTGCACGATGAAAAGCTCGTCCTCTCGTTCGATGATTTTTCTGTTGATTTCGATTCACGTATATGTAAAATGATATTCCGCTGGTATATCGATGAACTAACATAAAGAAATTATACAAACGCCTCGCTGGTTTTCACACGCTCCTCGGCCGCCTCCAATTCCTCCTCGACGAAGGCCAGTTTCCTCGAGATCTCGTCGGACTTTGCGTCCGCGTCCTCGGCGATCAGTCTGGCGTCCTTCAGCTCGTGCATCAATTTCTCCATGCGTTCCTCGTCGAGTCGACTTCTGTCCTCCAACACTTTGCACATTCTGTAAATAAAAAAAAACATTAACGTGCCCCGTTTCTCCAGATTTATTTTCACTTGCGTGTCGAATCGATTGCATCTCTTGCCGAATAACAATCGCGGCCTTGATTCATGGGTTAGATTTCTTTTAGATCACTTTAGTGAACTAAATTAAACAGATTGGACTATATCGGTCTAATTATTTCGAACACAGTATATCTACTTCAGTTTCGCCCTCAATTACGAAAGAACATTTTTCTACAGTAATATTAGATAAACATCGGTTCGCTACTAGTTAATTATAACCATAGAGAATTGAAGAAAAACAACTAAACGTTAACTTCCATTTCCGTAGAAATTACAGTGATAGCCGAAAATTAAGAGGAAAATACTATCGTTATGAACCTTTGCGCATCGTCAGCGAGTTCTGTCGCACGTCCGAGCTTCAACTGAGCAGAGAGACGTAATTCTTCCTTTTTCGTAAGTGACGCTTCGATTTCCTGCACTCGTTTCGTCAAAGTGGTACGATCTTGCTCCGCCTGTTAACGCAATTCATTAATTACACGCGCAATCTATCCTCCTGCCACTGAGAACAGTAGTGCGGTATTAGGAATCCTTTTAATCGACGAAATACGTATAGCGATAGATCGATAACGGAAACTTTTAATTGATTCGGGTTGTGTTTACGCACCCTGGACCAAGATTTCTCGCATTGCTCCAAATCGGCGGTGGACTGCTCCAAATTGGTCTTGGCAACCTCGTAATCCCGCTCGAGCTGGGCCAGTTTCTTCTCCAGATCTCTCAGGTCGTCGTTCAGCTTGTCCGCCCGAAGATTCTCCAATTTAGCCTTTGTCTCGTTCGTCTCGACCTTTTCATTCGCGGCGTCCATCTCCATCTTCAGCGCCGCAATCTTCTTCTTTATCGCCTCCATGATGACGATTGGTGTTTCTCGCCCTTTTCAAACAGTTCTCCGTCGACTCCTCGAACCTGATCAATTCAGAGAACTCGTTAAAAACACCGAGAAAACTCTAGGGGATCTCTTGTTCAGCGTTCGTAATTTTGACAGTAACTACCAAATTTGTTATCGAAAATGCACACTTATATAAATAGTATAAATTGCAAATAACTTCACTGATACAGACTCTCATCGACACTATATCGGGAGGATAACACCCACCGATACGGTTGACCAGTCTGACCACAACCGTACCGTATCTACTGCTAAGTGGGATGACGAGGAAAAGAAGAAAACGGAAGTAAATGTGATCGGTAACGTCTACTTGCTTCACGAAACAAGGTCTAATCGTCATTTCGTTTTACGAGAGGCAGAATCGTGGGCCGAATTTAAACACCAGAGCACTCACTTCACCCTTTTTTTTCGTTCGTAACTACGGAACGATATTAGATGACGCACCTTATCGGCGGCCTCGATGCTTCCTTACCAGCGAATAAACAACATTTATTTAATAACAGACACGATCCAAGGTGAAAAAAAAAAAGACAATTAAGAGTTAAAAGGGGGACAACACTCACTGTAATCGTCGCGATGATCCGCGATGAGAATGCACAACCGGATGCCTTCGAAAGCTAAGCTAAAATAAAACGAAACCGGCGTCGCGGGCCTCCTCGAACGCCTCGATCCAATCCAATTCTATAATTGCTTGTCGCCTTGTTGGCCGTCGTCCCGATTTTATCCCGGCTCTTCACTGGTCGATTCCTCACTGACTACCAACGAAACGCGATCTCCACCTCCCTTATGCTATTCTCGGATCGAAAGAAGAATTCCGTTTCTGTTTCCTGTCGGCCACGTAACCGACTCTTCACGGTAAACACCATAGGACACGAGATCACTATCATCCTGTTCTTTCACGGTCTCTCGAGAATTTTGTATTTCTCGACAGGTTCACTTTTGAACGTTTGAATCTTCCCGCCACGGTAACAAGATCCTATCGATCAATAGATCGATGAGAACCGCGAGGCGCTGTAAACGCGGGCAATTGATTATTGCAGATAGAATACAAATGTTTAATAGGAATTATGATTTTGTTCATTAACTTTCTTATTTCGTGTTTAACTTAACTACACGTAAACTACACTTCAATGACAAATGTCACATTCGACAATTTTTCTAGGAACTTAAACTTACTTACAAATCAACATGGCTTTATTGATACCTTTTTTTACATAAATTAAATTACATTCGTTCTTGAATTAATATATCCTTCGTCCTTTGCATATAAACTGAATGATTTTGTAGAAGTTGACACATCAATGAAAATTGAACAAAATTGACACAACTTTCATTCGTCATTTTGCAATGTTTAATTTCAAAGCATCTCTTTTTCATATAATCGACAGTACATGGTAGAAATTTACGGTGCTACGTTATATTACAATAATTTTTTTAGAATATTCTCGAAATTCAGGAACATTCTTAGAACGCTAGCATGATAAAATTGATTTTGATTGTAGTTTTGAGAATGCAACCTTCTAATAATATTTATATGTATATTATTTCGAAATATGTATTTTCATAGTTTACATAGGTTGAAATATTCTCGAGCAAAAGTACAATATCAGAAAGGAAAATTTCCTGTGTCATCAACATTCTTAGTATTATAAAAACTAGAAAAATGTAAACGCCATTAATCATAACAAAATCAGAAAGTCTATTTTCCTATTTTTACATGGTATAAATAACAGCAACCTTAAGTAAGTCTTACAATGTCTTCCTCCGCGAAATGTCCCTTTTGCACAATTCTCATACAATTTTATTTCATCCTAATCATAGGTGTTGAATTGTTTCTGTATGGTACTAAGCAAAAGCTGTAGAACACAAATACTAAAGCACATTAGGATTTGCAACGTTGTTTTGTAATTGATCAATGATACTGATCAATCTAAAGATCTAAGAAGCCAGAACATTTTTACAATTAAACGTACACAATGTAGAAAACAATTCCTGACGAAAGTACATAATATTTCAAACATAGTCTAAACATCGACGTGTACAAATGTAAGATGAACACAATGCGTGAAAAACACAGGCTTCGAAGTACAAACTTCAAAACACAATTCAGTACTTCTAATTCGTATGATTCAAGTCTGTATTAAATGTACAGTATTATATATACATATTAAATTCTCATTTTATAAGAAACATGTAGAGTGTGTAACTAACAGAAGTATCTTCAATACATTTTATGAGAACAGAATTAGAACTAATTATTCTAAAGACAGTTTCTAATCGAAGACACTACGTTTGTCGTATTCATCTTTAAGTACATATAAAGACCCTCTCATCCTTAAACGTGTACTAAATATTTGTCATGTAAAGTAAGAATATAAAGCTACTTAACACACTATACTTATGTAGTATCAAGTGGATCAAATTAATATAGAATACATATATTCAAAGAAAGTTTTCCATGAACAACAAAATTTCACTTATTCTTATGATATATACCCACGCGCATTTTACATGACCAGTGCGCTGTATATAATATTCTTGTACTTACGAAACATGAAAAATAATATTAAGACCAATGCATAATCTACTGTGAAACGTTTCGATGAAATAATCCGTCACATTCTAAGTCTCAGCTTGTTGATAAGTGCTTCGCTTAAACAGAAGGATCAATTTAGGAGAACTTAATAGAGAAGCATTTGTAACACTTCAATAGATATGATGAGCAAATGTTATTTATGGCACATAATAAGTACTTCAGGAATGTTGATTTAGTAAAAAATACCCATTTAGGAATAGAACTTCGTCGACAATTGTACCCAAAAAGCAAAGAATTGTGCGAACTGCTTCCACCTTGCTTTTCGCGTAAATAGTTCCTAAATACGATAGAAGTTAAAAAGCAGCGCGTATTGACACTGAGTTTTTGGCAAGATATAGTATATATGCGTATCAAGAAAAGCCTTCAAAACAATATTAGTATCAAATACGAGTAGTATCGTGTTATATAGTGTGTAAATGCATTAGTTTGTGGGCCACGCAAGTGCATACACATCAGTTAGAATTATTCTAATTGAAATTCATATAAGAAATCTGTTCTAGCTATTCATACCATATAGTATCACAATAGAAACGCTTACAAATAGTTCACAATCAGGAAAAAACGTTAACTTTAAGAAGAAAAAAACTGAAACATCGTTTAAATATATATTCTCTCCAGTAAAAAATTGTTTACTTTAAACCTAACGAAAATATAGAATTATAAATATTCTTTTATACTAACAAGAATACTTATATTATAAGAGCTCGTACAGAGAAGATCCACAAATCCATGCAACTTATGCAATCTTGTATCATATATGTATCTGTGTATGTGTATAGATATACAAAAGAAGTTTGTGCCGCTTAAAGTGCTTGTTAATAAGTTGATATAAAAGTACACATCGGTGCGTGTGCATTTCAACATACCTCTATAGAAGTACACATACAATATACTAGTAATGTACATACTTAGGTTTAAAGAACAATGCAAAATTTATGTTGGGCGGAAGCGGTGACGTAATAAGTCTATCAAAAACCACGACGTGGCCAAAAATTTTCATCGGACATGCCTTGTTTAGAAAGTATTAATGCACCATTGATAAGCGCAGCATTGTCATCTAGAGAGATTAGATCCCGTTTCAGAGTCAATAGCTGTTGACAATATATACGTTGGCGTAAATGAGAGCAAAAGATGCACAGCATCTTCTCTATCGAGGGCCCGTAATTGCTGTATCAGGGAACCCACGGAACAGTCCGCACCTGCAGTGTTCAGTAATCTATAAGGGAAAAAGAGGTAACATAAAGTATAATTCAAATATATTGCATCAAACAAGAATAACCCCGGTGAACATTGGTTGGGTTAAAAAGACGCGATTAAGTGTTAAAATTACATTTTTCACTAAAATGTAGTATCAATTTCATTACAATTTACTAACCTTAACGTTGGACTGTCCACAGTACTATCCAGCTGTGCAACTCGATCTCCCAAACCGAGTCTCACCGCGAGTAAACACCAGTCTCTTCCATGACGATCAGGAGGATCAAGCATTTGCGCTAACCTTCTTTGTACAGCAGGTTTTATATGCTTTACGGGTTGTTTTGGTCCAGGAAGACAATTTTCTATTAAAGGTAAGCCGCAACCCACGATTTCCCATACCGTTTCTTCTTGACCGTTCAAAGGATTTGTAAGAACTGCCTCTTCAAGACCTTTATCTATTAAAGATGATATAACAGGTGCTGGTTCCCAAGAATGTACAACCTATCATCGTACACAAAGTTTTATGGAAAATACTTTTAATTATTCGTATATAATAATTTTATCGAGTTATTTAACTCACTTCATCGTATTCACGAAGTTGACTAGGACTCAACCAATGTCTTTCGAGTAACATCCCTGGAGCGACTAACTCAATTGTCGTTTCAATAGAGTCGATGATAATGCTTAGAAGTGCAAAGCATTGGGCACTAGTACCCCGTGGCCCGCGTACTCTTATCTCCATACAACTTTGTTCTTCTTCTTCGAAAGTTATAATACTTTCACAAGGTCCAATACACAATTTTGATCCTCGCCACCACTGATATAGATCGGAGTTTGATGGATCCCAAGACTGAGTAATTTTCCTCAGTTGTGCCTGTATAATACCACATCACTGTTAATAGTGTTCACTAATTTAACATACAGAAATAAAGTAACAACCATTTATCGGGAATACATACTTGCAAATGTGGGAATATTGCAATTAAATGATACAAAGCTGCTTCAGATGGAGCCAGACGAAGACCTGTGTGAGGTAATATATTAGAGCATGGTTTCCATGGTTCCCATAATCCTGGTAAACGCTCGACAAGGTTCAAGCAGGGTATTTCATACTCCACTTCGTCGTCGTCCACTTCACACTGCCATAGAAGTAAACATATTAATGGAATTCATAACACAATATATTGTAAATTAGATTAAAAAGCTTACCGGAACACATAAGTTTACTGCTTGCAAAGCTTGCAAAGCTTGACTCGCGGGACACGGAGAGCGAGCCTGAAAATCTTCCAAAGCATACACTCCCGTAGTACGTCCTCCAAGACGTCCCCTCTGTTCTGGACTTAGCTGCCAATTTATTACATCCTGCCAGAACCATTCTGGACTTAGAACTATTAGATTCCCGGGAAGAAGCATGCATTCCCCTAAATTCTAGAAATTGAAACTTGTTTATCATACTACGAATTGAACTGTAAGTCAGCACTATAGCACATGTAATACCTGTAATTGTAATCCAAGGTGTCTACAATGTTCTAAACAAACTAATGGATTAATTTTTCTCACTTCCTTCAAAAATTCCTCCTGTGTAAATATTACCGGAGGTACCTCTAAAGTTTGCACATATGCTCTCCAAGATTCAGCGAGACCAGTCCAGACTAGTGCGCTCTATAATAAGATTTTTGGAGTCCTTAACGATGGAATACAAGAGAACAAAATATGAAATAATACACTGATGCAGAAAATATATACAAGAGTAGTTCTTTTTTTTTTTTTTATTGCATTGGACAGTAGTGCATGTATGTATTAATGGGATAAAGCGTTAGAGCAATTATTAAATAAATAAACAGCTTCATAATACACATCACTTATCAAAGGAATTGAGAAATAGTTCGACCTGTTTATCAAGATTCGCCAAGGGCACGTACGTGGCCGCAGCCCGCGGCGTGTCACGTCGGAGAATACTTTCTGCAACTTCCGGTCCTTCCTACATCATGCATTGCATGCAGTAAGGCTGATGTTAATAAATGTTAATGACCAAATAATCAGCAACTAAAATATATGTCGTTAGTAAATTGATCATGTGACAGAGTGACAGCAGATATGTATAAGAAAGATCATTTTCAACAATATTTTCTTTCGTGTGGGAATGTGCTTGATATGAATATCGCAAATAATTAATTGAATTGGGGAAATTATGGAAAAAATATTACTTCCGATTAAGTCGGTTACTGGTACATATATATACGTATGGAAATCAACCATGCATCATGAATGACCATGGATTACTGAATCATAACTTGAAACATAAATAATTGCATGGTTTTTAGGAGTTAATAATGGTTTGTTCAACATAGTATTAACATTGCGGGACTTGAAATCAAAGAGACGTGAATCTTACAAATGTAGTTGGCGCTATGCAAAATGAAATGACCCGATTCTAATGAGAACCGTTTTGATAATGTTAATGCACACATTTATTGCATGCTGTACAAACACTGGCGTTATATCCCTGTAAAAAAATGTAGAAGTATAATTATGTACACGAACATATTCGGCTTGAACCTGAACCATTCGATACTCATTATATAATACACAAATTTTAACGATACATCATCAGATTTTCTAGACTGAACAAGTTGCTCGTGCAATTAAGCATGATATGATTAAAGACTTCAAAAACTTCCCGATATCAGATGACATTAATCTGAGCTGAGACAACCAAATATAAATTATATCCAAATAAATACGTTTTATATTCTAGAATCCCACTTCAGATTAAGTATATGATTTTGTCTTTTTCTTAATCCAATGCTATGTATGCCGACATGCAATAGTTTAGTCCGTTTAGTGTATTTGAAAAATTTAGTACTTAATATTCGGATAATAAATTATAATGAATATGATAATAGAAGCTAATTTCAAATACTTAAAAAATTCAAAATTTGGAATTAAAAGAGTCGTGACAATAGTCTTTTGTGTGTTTTGGATTCAGTGATAGTAAAAAAAGTAGTTTGTATTACGCGTAATAGCATGTAACGTGTGGAATAATTTCATGTAAATCATATAATAACTTCACCTCTAGAAATTCCATCCTTGCATTATTCAAGTATGATCTTAGAAGTTTCAGACCGGGACTAGAAGGATTAGTTGCATCCACTGCGACCATTTGAGGATCATCCCCCAAAATCGATGTGAACTCTTTTAAAAAAGGTAAAAGTGGTGCAAGAGGGATACTAGTATTCGAATTTGGAGCAAGTGGTTCTGGTGCATAAGTTCCAACTAAGATTACTTTTACGTCACTATATTTGCCACCAAAACCTGTTACAAAAAGATGTTTCAAATGTAATTAATACATACAATTATGACTGAATGATATTATAATTTGTTGATCTTACCAAAATTAGTTGATGCAATACGATCGGAAATAAATTGTAGCCAAAATTTTATTTGCTGAAGTTGTACAGTTAGAGGTTCTCTAAGACTGACTGTTATAAGGTGTACTGCAGGTTGTTGAAAAGTAAGCACATAGTGATAAGAGGCTAGAAACTCCTCGCGTCCACATAACTCCCAAAAAACACATTCTCCACCTTAATAATGAGAGTCATAAACATCGTATATCTTTAACTGTACTTATGATAAGACGATATTGAAAATTCATTATCCTCACCTACATTGCCCCGACTCCACTCTACTCCTTGTGTACCTTCATATTCACTATCACTATATTCAAAACTAAGTGAACCATGCTTGCTAGTTACATCTAATTCAATACTTGGTTCCCTCTAAATATTAAAAAGGTTACTTTTAATAAAATACTGAACTTCACTATTGGTACAATAAGAGTCCATATGTGTTCAACTACATTTTAAATACATGAAATAACTACCTTCGCTGTATAATTCTGACTTCTTGATCTTCTAAAAAATCCAAAACTAAAAATACCAGATTTTAAAGAATTTATTAAAGATGATTTTCCTGATGCACAATGTCCTAAAAGTCTTACATGTAGACGATCTATTGGTCTATGTGTTGGTTGCAACTGTTTTATATAGTTCTCACGTTGAATGGGCTGAAATTGAAATTAATATTAATAGAGCCCAAACACAGAGGTTTGAAACATGTAGATTTTAATAACATACATTTCGAAGCTTATCTAGTAATGACGCGATATCGGGATGTCCGTACTTAATTGCTGTCACGTCCGCTCTGATTCCACGATTCGTTTTGTCAACGTCGCAACCAGCAAGGCACAAATGTCTAACGAGATTAATGAAACCGTGTCTAGCAGCCACATGTAGTGGTGTTAAGCCCTTTTCATTGGGTGTATCCAAATCTATTCCACTCTCTATTAAAAATGTTACCATTCCCTCATCTCCTGCTTCACAAGCTATGTGTAAAAGAGTGTCTTCTTTCTGTTTAAAGGAACATGACTGTTTATATCCTACTTATGTTCAACATGATTTGAAAGATATATACAGTAGTACAATTCTCACAGAATCTTTTACGTTCAATGGTGCTCCTTGAAGTAATAACTGAGACACAGCCTCAACACAGCCTCGTTTAACAGCACTAATCATAGCTCCACCAAGACCTTGAGAGGCTTCCGATTCCTACAGAATAACAAAAAGATACAGCTGTTCAGTTTTATAGTATCCTATACATATTGTGCTTTACCATGCCACATAATGAATACTTTCTGAATTTTCACATATACGTATTAATAACAATATTACTGTAAAAAAAGAAAATTAAGGTACATATGTTCAGTAAAAGAATATATGGGGTTTAACTTAATGGTGTATATTCTGTAGGAAAATTGTACGTATGATATATCTATACAGATGATACTAACATCAGTTACGCGATGTACATAAATAAACATTATTTCGTGAGAAATAAAAAAATAATGTGATCGTAAACAAAAGTTAGAATCAGCCCTGGCAATTATAAAGGAAATTATAATATTGCATTCAGGAACAGACCGTGAGGATCCAAGGATGTTTAAGGCACGATTCTGCAGTCCCTCTTTCTCTGGAAGTGAAATTGTTCATTGTTATTTCATTCTATTTCAAAATCTACTTATAAGACTCAACACTTATTATGAATTCTTTTTACTTACTTTGGATCCTTGATCAACAAGGATCTTATGAAATCTTTGGCAATTTCAGATACATTACTGAAATACTCATTGTCAAATTGATATTGGCATGCTGCAACATTTGTATAAGTTTCTTGTTTATCTTCGCCTAGAAATGGCGATGCACCGCTTAAAAGAATATAAGTTAAAACACCAACTGCCCAAAGATCAGTTCCCAAACTGAGTGGTTCATAATTTACAATTTCAGGAGCAACAAACTCAGGTGTACCAAATAGTGCTCTATGTTCTGATCCAGGTACTAATCGATGCGAGAGACCTAGATCTATGTCAGAAATAAAGTACATGTACTTTCTTTACATACTATCAATGTATACAGTGCAGTGGCAAATCACCTATTAATTTTATATTCGGCATTGGTGGAGGAGTTGATAAAAGAATATTTTCAGGCTTGATGTCTAAGTGAGCAACTTGATGTGAATGTAAGTGACTAAGTGCCATTAAAACTTGACGAACCTACAAAGAAGTATCATTAATGCTAAGTTTATTATCAGAAATATGTAGGTATTTTAAATAAGGTCTACAAACCACATGTGCAGCTTCTAATTCACCAGATGGTACCCAATGAAAGAGCTCCCCCCCAGAAATTAATTCCAAAAGTAAAACAACAGTTGTGCCTGTATCTACAACTCTGTGCAGAGAAACAATATTTGGATGCCTTAGTCTTGCTAATAAACCTGCTTCTCGAGCTAAAACAGAAAATTACTAGTTACACACGAGAAAAATGAAGCAATCTAAATTAAAGGCTCTTTAAAATTAAAAACCCAATATAAATTAATATAGCTACCAATATCTGCTGCTGCCACACCTCTGGCAACTCTTCTTTTTCTCATAATTTTGGCAGCAAATAGCTCCCCTGTACTTAGTTCCATACATTTTCTTACTATCGCAAATTGTCCCCTATAATTTACAAATATACAAGTAGTTTGTGACATACAAATTTATTAATAAAAAATTTTAATTCGGTTGAACTTACTTGCCAATTTCTTCCAATAATTTATAATTTTTTTCAATTGGTTCATGATAAACCTCCATCAATGTGTCCCACTCAGGGCCTAATTGCAAAAGCAAATTATAGTACCAGATAAAAAATTCTATTCATTCGCATTAAACAACGGTAATTACGAGAATAGAATTAGTAATTAAAAAAAGGTAAATCTTCGTGCACAACAGTACATGTACTTGATTTTTATACAAACAGTTCACGTAATAGTATCAAGAAAAAATTAAATATTTGTAAATGTTTTTTTACTGCAACGCAAGAAGAATAGAAAAACCTATATTTCTTTTATATTTCTGTTACCAATTCACGGTAGTACACGATAGTATTCATTCCTTAAGAATCGAGATCCAGAATGAATCGAACACGCAGACACCTGTCAATCTCGTAGTAAACAGATATGAAAATCACTTCCGTACGCACGTAACCACGTGGATACATTCTCGTTAATGCAAGATTAATTCTGTTTTAAAAACATAAACCATACAACTCGTACGTCTGAATTATGTCGAGTCGCGAAGAAATATTAAACCATCTGCCAGCGTTGACAGAGATATCAACACGATAACGCGTAAGAGGATTGAAAAAACAATCGAAAGGAAATCGGTCTTTACCACCTTTCGTAGTTCCCAATTGGCGAGACGTGCCTGGCATCATCTCACGTTCATGCTCATCGTTCAGTCTATCCGAACAGTTTCAAGTTTCGCAAAGAGCCGTTACGAAAATTGTGTCCCATTCGTCGGCCTTCACTCATGCCGGCCACCCCACACACACAATCGATATACCTGTGTCGCGTGAAACGCCACCTTCCTCAAAATGCATCGCAATCTCATAGAATATAGAACCTTCTCTAATCCTCGGGACCGCTCTTGATCCGTTTAATCCACGCATCGTTGATTACTCTTGCTAATCATGAGCTGTTTAAAAGATCTCAGAAAATGTTATTCCTTTTCCGAATGTAGCTTGAAATCCTTTTTGATCCACTGGGGTTTGTTTTGGAGTAGATCAAATTTTCTCAAAAAATTCCCTTCTATCTAATTGGAATAAATGATGTTCTTGGATATCTATTCTTTAGGAAGGATATAGTTAATAAAAAAGAAGTATTTTCGCTCCGTAAATAATGTTTCTCTAACAAAAATACTATGATGCTTGTTCAAATTTGATTCAAACTACGTTTTTATATGATTTTAAGTTACAAGGTATATAATTCAAATTTGAAATAAGAATAGTCATTATGCAAGCGATTAGGGCGTAAATAGTAACAAATGAAAGATCATTGGAAATTTTATATTTATTTTATATTAAATCTATCTTACTCATGACTCATAAGACTTGAATTAATCCTGAATATGTAGTGGTTCCTCAATAACAAGAATTTCGTAATTTTACCTGTTTGTAAATGTAGTATTTCACGGTCTCCGTCCAACACATCATTCAAATATTATTTGGGCTTTTGATTTAGAGAATAAATGTTTTAAAAAATCGAAGCTCATAAATGTTTCTAATTTAAGTCAAACATTGTCAAGCTACTATAGTTCCTGTCACAAAGCTATATGTATACTATTTACATATCGTTTAGACATAATGGAATATAAGTTGGTGAAAGTTTAGAACATTACATTTAAGTGGTATTGTATTATTTCAAGGCATATTAAACATATAGTGAAACAGTACTGACTGTAAAACACATTTCAGGTATATATACAAACCTATTCAATTTATTGATATCGTGAAATATATTTTTAACTTTATTGGAATCTCGTACAAAAATGCTATTAAAGCGATATCCGCAGAATTGATCACTATGGAATAATTGTAAACATTCTATGTATTAGTTTGTTACAATAAAGAAAGCATCCTGGCAAAAATAATACGTAGATAAATGCAATACATGCATCATTATTGAATAGCTTACCAAAGTAATTTTATTATATGAAAATGCATACAGACAGGCAAATGCTTTTTGTGAACATGAATCGAGTTTCAATGAAATCACTGTGGACATGAATCATTAAGTGTTAACGCAAATAAAGCATTTCGAGCGCAGTAAAAAATTTAGTAATTTCAATCCTTCATAGCTTCCTCTGAAACTTGTGCAGGTGGTGTGGGTTCATTATCTTTCTTCTTCTTGCTTCCGGACACAATATCATCGATTCTCAGTAGTAAAATAGCTGTTTCAATAGCTGTTTTGTATGTTTGCAGCTTAACAGACAGAGGCTCCCAAATACCACGTTCTTCCATATCTACCAATTGACCAATTTCTCCATCAATACCCCATGTCATACCTTCTGTGGCGTGTTTTGCACGAAGTGCAGTTAACGTTCTAATGGTGTTGGCTCCACAATTCTGTGCAAGGGTTCTCGGAATTATTTCTAATGCCTGTGCTACAGCTTTATAAGGCCACTGTTCAACACCAGCAAGTCTTGCTGCTTTCTCTGTCAGAAGTCTTGAGACTGCCATTTCCACTGCTCCTCCACCTTTAACAAAAAAACAATGTAATTGTAATATGATTGTATACCATAAATATTTAAACCGAAAAATATTGTATACCTGGTACTAATTTAGGTTCAATAAGAAGATTCCTTGCAACATGAAGAGCATCCTGCAGATTTCTTTCTGTTTCATTTAATACATCTTTACTGGCACCTCTCAGAATTATAGTACACGCCTTTGGATCTTTACAGTCCGTAATAAAGCAAAAGTAATCATCTCCAAGCTTTTTGATTTCAAATAGACCAGCTTTGGTACCAACATCTTCATCTCTCAATTCTTCCGTACGATTAACCACACTCGCACCACAAGCTCTTGCAATTCTGTTGATATCACTTTTCCTCAGTCTACGAATAGCAGTGATTCCAGCTTTCACCAGATAATGTTGAGCCAAATCTGATACTCCCTTCTCAGTGATGACTACATCAGGTTTTACAGCTATTATATCCTCGCAAATCTTCTTCACGTGTGCCTCTTCTAGTTCCAAAATCTTGGTAAAATCAGTATCCTTCAATATTTCTATATTAGTTTGTGACTCTCCCTTTTTGTACTCCAAGGGGCAATCCAATAAAATTATTCTTGGATCCTTAATGTATCGTCTCATTTTTGGATGAGTAACATCCTTATTAATCATTACTCCTTTTAAAACAATGCTGTCTTCAATAGTACCACCAGGAATTTTCTCCACCTTTGCATAACGCTTTATATCAATTTCTTTTCTACCATTTTCCTCCAGCATAACAGTATAAACTGCATCCAAGGCAATCTGACATGCTAACTCAGACCAACGACCAATGAATTTAGTTCCTACACATGAATTTATCACTTGAATCATTTTGCTTCTATCATTGCAGTCCAAGTCCATGCTGACTTGTTCATTAAGAATAACCACCATGTCTTCCAGAGCTTGCCGGAATGCTCTGATTATAACTGTTGGATGCATATTTTGCTCTAGAAAAGGTTCTGCAATAGCCAAAATTTCTCCCGCTAATACAATAACTGAAGTGGTGCCATCTCCAACTTCTTCATCCTGAGTTCTAGCAATCTCTATCATTGACTTTCCAGCAGGATGTTGTACTGTTATTTCGCGTAATATAGCATTCCCATCATTGGTCATGACTATACCTCCCATTGGGTCCATTAACATCTTTAACATTGCTTGTGGTCCCAGACATGTTCTAATGACATCTGCAATTGCCTATAGAAAACAGCATAACAGGAATTAATCTGTACCTTCATTTTAAATTGTAATAAATATTTCAATGCATTTATCTAAAGACTTATAAGGTTATAATAAAGAATTCATTTTAATACTGATTGTAATAAACAATGAATTAGTTACTTATGAACAAACTATGGATATTTATGCAAATTTGAATTTTTCCTGAACAATTTAAAGAAATGAAATAAAAATTTACTTCTTCTAACAATGGTTTTATTAGGAATAAAAGAAATATTTTTATTCTACTGTATTGTACTTAATTGAATCCAGCATAAATCCATAAAATTCGCAATCTAATTATAAATAAATTTCTCATTTCCGGTGTATAAACTGAACCGGAAATAATTGGTATTATTAGATATACAAGTTATAAATAGTATTAACGAGGTGTCCCTTAAAGAAAATACACGTGGGCGTGCCGACGATTCAAGACCATAAATGGTCAATCCACGAACCTCCGGTGTTAGTACTCACCTTGCCAGCTTGGATATTTTCCCTCTGAACTTTCCGGCCGGTATCCCGCTTGGTATTCTGACCTGCAATAATCAAAGCGCACGACATCGTAAGAAAAAGCAATCTTCCAGTTCGGTTTCTAAACAAACGAAATTCGACATCGTTATTGTTTTAACTTACTTAAAACTACGATCGGAGCAGCCCCTGGTCCGAACATTTTCCTGTGGTTCTTTGAATAGTTGAATATTCTGACAGAAAATGACACTTAAGTACACGCCTGACTTTTCCAGAAGAAAACGAGACCTTGCAATAATTGCTTAGAAATACGCGTGAGGATTCGTGTATAGTGGCAAAATGAAATACACTTTGTCAACGTCCAGTGCTGCCAACCGAAAAATAAACGTCTCCATCTTTGTAACCATATTTGAATATGCCTGGAATAAAATCACCGATAATTTACAAATCTTTAAATATTTGAATGCTCTTCGAATATATAAATTCATTTACTAGGATTCCTTTATTCGTACTTACAGTGAGCATTTCTGCGATAAAACACAAATTGAACTATATCCTGTGCTTCCTGCAGAAAAAGATACCCGAGAAACCGTTAAAAAATCAATTTGTTCAGGACGCTTTGATGAAGAGCCTCCATACATTTTAGTATAAAATATATTTAATATATTTAAAATTTTCAACGACTCACTTATCCCTGCTGTATTGTACTTTAAACCGCGCTTTTATTCTTAGTTTTTAGAAAAATCTTTGGAGGTCTGACTACAATAGCAACTCTACGAGACATTCTAAGTTCCATATTAGCAATCATGGAATATGTTTGAAATACAAGAAAGTTTGAATATTTCGTGATGCAACGTTATAACTGATATGATTTTGAAAGTTTTCGAAGGATGTTAACGCCAGCGTCAGTTATAACATTCTATCAAGCTGCTGTAGTAAATAAAATTCAGAAAAATTGTTAAATTGGGACTGAGTCCGAACGGACAAAAGTGGATACAAATGATTTTAGAATTCGTTCATGGTAAACAAAACTATATATGAATTCAAACGGATACAAACTTACCGCACTATTTCCTAAACAAGTATGTCACATTTAAAAACAATTACTTAAACTGGTGAGTTCTGTTTACTTGGTTGCCAACCTTATAGAAACTCTTATAATAATATTCATTGCACAGTTCACGACGTTCACACATCACACCAGTCTCTACTAATAAAACTTAGCCTGTAGAAACGTGGTAGTAATTACCAAGATGCAGGTTCCACCGATTTTTATGGAATTACCTTTAGAAGACCAGGTAGAATATAACTATATTATATTAAACAATTAAACCTCTATAATATCACTCCTAAAACATTACACTACCTTATATATTTATCATAGTATCCGTGTGTATAGTAAAGGTTATATCTAATTTTTGAAAGAAATATTGTTTTATCATCATTGTTTGTTTTAACGTTTTTATCCATACCTCTTTTCTTGTTGAAAGTATGTAGCTGTACTTAATAATGTCATTTATTTGTTTATAGGCACAAGAACTAAGAGTGTATTTGAAAGGCTTGGGTGCCGAGATCAGCGAAGAAAAATCTCCCAAGGGTATAGAAGATGATTTGCATAAGATTATTGGTGTGTGCGAAGCTTGCTTTAAGGAAGGAAATGAAAATGAAATAGAAACTGTTTTGAATGACATTGTATCTATTATGATAGTTATTCCCACAGAACGAGCAGAAAATTTAATATTAGCATTTTGTGAGAAATTAACAAAAGCACCTGGTTATAAGCTTGGCTTCGTATGTTTAAAAGCGTAAGTTAATGTAAACAATGCAACTATTATCAGTAATTAGTAATGGGTACATATATGTTTTTTTTGCAGGTTGTGGTTATTATTTCAGTCTCTTCCTGATGAATCTCCGATGAGATATCATGTTTATTACCATATAATTCAAATTGCACGCAATGTTGATCAGGTGAAAGCAGTATATGGTGGAATTCAACAACTGAAGCAACAGTTTGCATCGTTGCCACCATCCAATGAACAAATGCAAAAGTTGCTTAGACTACTTCATGAAGTACTTTTAAGTTGCAAACAGGGGTAGGCCAAATGTTATTACATAATGAATTCTAATATTATTGATATATTAAACTAAAAACAAAATTACAGGGAACAGGCTGCTGCAGTTATGGTAGAACTTCTAGGCACTCTGCTTGATCCGCTATTAGCATTAAAACCAGTAAAATTCTTAGAAGGGGAACTTATTCATGATTTACTTCTTGTGTTTGTAAAAGATAAATTACCTGGATACTTACACTTTTATCAACACCACAAGGAATTTGTGGAACATCAACTTGGTTTGCATTTAAATGACTAGGTATACTATACTTCAAGAAAATAAAAAATGAGTAATGTGTCGTATACTTATTTTTCAGGATTAAATCATGAACAAAATATGAAAAAGATGAGATTGTTAACATTTATGCAACTGGCAGAAACAAATCCTGAAATGTCTTTTGATACAATACAAGAGGAACTGCAAATTAGTGAAGATGAAGTAGAGAGCTTTATTATTGATGGTAAGGCAATATAATATGGTTAGCCTAAGCTGCATTATGTAGATATTATAAGTAACAATCATTTACCCTGCATAGACAAAGCTAATCTTTAAATTTAATTATAAAAGTGAAGATATAGGTGCAGGGTATATAAAAAGAATTAATACTGACTTAGTAGAACTTAATTTTTACTAAGTTATCGAGTTATTCGACATGTCTAGTACGAATTAAATGTAATTACCTGTTTTTTTATGTATAATCATGGAGTAAAATGAAATATTAATGTCGCAGTACTGAAAACAAAACTCGTTAGAGCTCGAATGGATCAAGCAGGTCGTAAAGTACTTATTTCAAGTACTATGCACAGAACATTCGGTCGACCGCAATGGATGCAACTTCGTGATTTACTTGCAGCCTGGAAAGTAAACTTAACCGGTGTACAAGAAGGTATGAAGTCCGTAGCTGCGGCACAAATGGAACTTGCCGTAAAGAATAAAGCTGTAATCAATCACTGATGACATCGTAGTGTTGTATATGAAATTCATAAATTGCGTATACAAAGATTACTTGGAAACTGAAGTTAATTAATTATTTTAATTAATTAATTCAGACTTTTAACTGAATAAATAAATATATCATGTAACTACAGTATTATGTTTGTAATTAAATTAATCATATAATTAAGAAAATGATGATAAATGATTTGTGGAATTTGTAATAATATTACATGACGTTCTAAGATTGTATAATACATTTTTTCACTTTTATTATTTTACTAATTCTTACTTCACTAATTTTATTCTGCATTAATTTCCCGAAAGACAATTGAACATTTAAATCGGATAACTTGCTGCAGTACTTACTGTTCATGGCCAAATATTTGATCATCAATTATGAAAAGAGTAGATTTTTTATATAGATTAAACATTTGTTGTATAGGTTTATTTATAAAATAAAAGATGCTGACAGTAAGTCAGTTGCAGGATGTAAATGACTAAAATAAAAACACTGGTCATATGATTATGAATTTTTTATTTTCATCTTTTCATATAGCAACATTTTATTCTCATTAATCAATTTTATATGACATAAATCTTTATCGTAGAAGCATTTCTTACGGTTTACAATTCGACCAATAGAACGTTGATATACAATTTTATAATTGTGCATTACATGATTAGAAAAGCCACATTTTCTTTTTGTACTAATTCGCTTCATTATTTGTTTCTAATCTGTAATTTGTTCCTTATCACATGATACTGTTGATTCGTACAAAAGTTACAAACCCTAAAAAACTAATGATATAAATCTATAAAAAAGTAACACAGCGTGTGGCTTGATGCAAATTCAAAATGTATATGTAAAGTAAAACTATCTACTGTAACGTTTATCATCGTTTAACATTTTCATATAGAAATGTATGTAAGTCAGTTATTATTCATTAATGTCTTTTACATACATTTCCGTATTTTAACATGTACACTGTTTTGAGTTCACCTCATATATTCTTTTACAAAAATAATATTATACATAAGCGAAAGTACGTCCTGGAAACATAACATCTATTTCTTGGAATATAATTTTAATTTCATTCACAATTGTATCAATAGAAGCATATTATTCTATATGAAAAAAATGCGTATCTCTTTTATGTGGTAAAAAAATTGTTCAGAAATGGAAATGAATACAAAGAACTGGATACAATGTATTGAAATATTATGTTTAACATGAGTGCAGTCTATAACAGTAATTTGTTATCAAAGTTATTGGCGTAACTTATGACGAGTTTTTCTACATCTAGTGATAATAGTACGTTGTAAAAATAACAACTATCATAGTAAAATTATCATTTCAATGGCTTAATTACTAATTGATACATAAGAAACTTTGTTTTTTCTGTTTCTTAAGTTGTTTTTAGTACGACTTTATTTCAGATATGGCATCATAAATCTCACGTTGCTCTGATTTTTGAAATCTAAATCATTAAATTATCCATTACATAATCGGTAATAAATGTGTAGCACATATATAATATAGCCTCAAGTATACGCAGGTATAAAAATCTTTTCATTTCATACAGAAACTCAACAACCTAACAAAGATTTAAAATGATTTTTGACTTTTCGAATGTATTCAAAATATGCATTATATCAATATTTCTATAGACTTCTATGTTTATTCTGTCTTTGCATACATCAATCTCTTGTAGCATTCACTGAAAGACAATTTACGAATAATAGGTACTTTATATGTATGTTACTTCTTTAATATAAATTCATTCTCTTTCTCTGAAATTGCTGTAAAGTCAGATTTGAGTAGAGAAACGAGGACGTGGCAAATCTCCAAATACTGTATCACCATGAACGCTCTTAGCTAGAGCTTTAATTGAAGCTCGAATATTATGTGGATCATGTGGATCTCTTGATAACTGAAAATGTTATTCGATTTGATTTAATAAAGAATGTTATTAGGCAATATGTACACCCAAGCATAATGTACATATGCTAAAATTATATGTAAATAAACCTTTAATAACACAGAGCTTAAATTCTACAAAAATAAGTCAACTATACAATTCATACCTGATCATCATCCTGGTCTTGAACTGTTCTATGCACAAATGAAGGAAAAGATGGAACACTAACTGGTAATGACTTAGCCAATGTGGGATGTCCACCTCTTTGGCCTCTAGGCATATGAATACCTTCGTCTTGACCTGAATCTAAACACAGCATCAATAATGTTATTCATCTCTGTTTCACTACATTAAGATATTATATCATCGTTTCAATGGTAAAGTTACGATATTTCAAAAACTACATTTTTCAGACGAGAAATAACCACTTTGTTAATTAATAGGACTTTTCAAATACACAGTAAAAAACTAAGTTAAATAAATAGTAAAAAAAACAAACAATCATACATGTAGTTCCGATTCGTAAAAATTGCAGTTTCGCAACTTTACCATTGGAACAACAATATAAATTGAAATTTTCATTAACCATCTGTATCAGATCCTTCTTCTGAAGATTGAACATGTTCAGCAGTGTCAATGTCTTCCATTCCTTCTAGAGGAAATAAAGCTTCTGCATCAAAACTAGTTGCCTCATTAGTGTATATATATAATTGATCTTTCTTATCTATGTTACCATTCTATAAAATATAAATGTTGTATACAGTATATGTAAAATGATATATAAATCACACACATAATATGTAACTTACAACAAGAGGATTAGGAGAATATTTTGCACCATCATGCTTAACATTAGGACCAGTAATGATTTTTGTTTCATTTGATATCACTTTTGTTGGTGTATTCACCACATTAGCTGTAGAGGTAGATAAACTGGTTGTAAAACTGTCTGGGGTTGTAGGAGGTGTTTCTATGTTATTTGTTAATCTATTTGTTTCATCCCCCTTAGATATTAACCTGAAAGTATCAGTTTAAAAACATAAAGTTTCGAGTAATATAATAGTGTGTAATACTGTGATTCACGCATAAAACCTTGTTAATATTCTGTGCTCGTTGTGAGCTCGTTCGCGAAACTGTTCTAATAATTGATACTGCTCTGCCGTGAAAGCACGAATTTTATCCTCTATTTCTGCAGACTGTCGTTGAACTGCTTCCTCAAGCTGTTGTTGGAGACCACCCAAAGCTACTTGTACATTATTGGGTAATTGGGACACTATATAAATGAAATAATATATCCAATGAATTTTTCAATACACAGAGTTTAAAATACATCTTCACGTGCTGTTCTTTCAAATCATTACTTTGAAATTAATTAATATATGTTAATCAATTCACCAGAAAACTTGGTAGGTTGTTGAAGGTAATCGAGTTCATCCAAAGTATTATGAGCAATTACTATTCTAAATACTGGACTATAATCAGGACTGGATTTCAATTTGTTTATTTCTTCAGGTGTAGTCTGTAATGAAAAGCAGAAATTGGAATAAATATTGAAATAAAAAATATATCTTACATAAAACTTAAAATGTACAGATTAACTTATTTTTGAGACATAAGTCTGAAGAAATCAATTTTTTATACTTTTCCTTGTACAACAAGTATATACTTACAATAATGTCATTATTAATAAGGACTAAAGCAGCACCATAGTCTCTGTGCACAGCATGTGTATACATAGAACAATTGTAACACCTGTGAATAACCCATGATCCTACATTTCTTATATCAACTAAACCTGGTTGTTCCTTAGTAATACCTTCAAGTTCTGATACTGTTGCTAGATTCTGTTCCAAACAAAAAACAAACATTACAATAACAAATTATGTATATTCATATATGGGGATATTTATGCAAATTAAAATTATTAAAAACTGATTTATAAAAAAAAAGTATTGAACCAATTTTTCTTACACTTTTGTAAAGCTCACTTAACTTATGGGAAATCCAATAAAAGGTTGTAAATGTTATTGACTTCACTAACTATATTTAAATCTATGAAGCCAAAAATTATGATTGTGAAAATTGATGTGTCACATATTTGGTTATATTGATCAACATTACAATACTGTGACATCATTTTTGAAAAACAGTCTAAGATTGAACTACTTCATGACATTGATAGTTGTACTATTATACAGAGTTCACTTTTATAATCACCAGCACATATACTTAGCAACTAGATAAACTAAATATTTTATTGAAATTAATAGTATTTATAAAATTCGCTTTGAACTTACCGTTGACACGGAACAGTACAAATTTTTTTCCTACTAACTCCGTCATGAAGCGACAGGTGTTGTAAACACGCGTAGCAATTGTTATTAAAAAAAAAAAGAAACCTCACCTGACGAAAGAATCCGTCGGTTTGTTCCTGAGGTGTCAATTCAATATCATCTATGTTGACCTTTTGAAGTTCAGTGCCCCTGGACTTTATGGACACGTTCAAACATTTGCAAACAATATGCATCTTGCACAATCAATGCGCAACGTTCTCTAAAAGAAACTGAAAAAAGTCAGCACACCGTCTCACGATGCCGGGATTCATGCACAATGTACATGTAGGGTATACACAATTATTTCTCCGATATGTGAATATACCTCAAAAATCTTTCAATCAAGCTCAAGGTACTTTCAACTTTCGTTATTAGCCAACGCGAAGCTGTTACGAGTAAATTAATATCGAATAATATCAAATATGAAACAACAACAACAGTCTTAACTCAAAGAGTAAACTGATCTTGCGTGTTTAATGCTATTGTTGAATGAATATTTAATGATATTACTGTGTTTCGTTCGAATGAAGACACCTTTATTTAGGTATTTACTCTCAAGCGAGGAACGATACACTTTGTACACGAATTCACTGGTGCTCGATTCCGGCTACCGACTGATCTGTTCCGTGTGTTAATTGCACGCTGTGACGAACACGCACACTTGAAACCAAGTAAACGAATTACCGAACTTTTCTGTCGAGTGTATGTATTTACGTATACATTCACGACCGAATGCTGATTTTCAGTCCGTATACGGAGGCAGTTTTGAATATCAATATTTGGGAATTTTGCATGAATCGGTCTGAATAAATCTTCACATTCGAATCGTAGAACAAATCTCTACATTTCTTGGCCACAATGCACGTATTTACAAGTATTTCGAATAATCGTCGGAACCTCTACTAAAAATAAACACTGATTTATAGGTGCGTGCAGATGCGTACGTGATCACCCCAGACAAAACATACTTGCTAGTCAATTGACCGACTTTTGCCGTATGACATCGGTCTTCCACTGTGGCGACTGGAAATTTGTATACACGTATACATAGCGTACACACAGTCGAGTTGACTCAAAATTGCACGTGTAAGATAGAATTATTGTTTTATATGTTTGATAATTTCTGTTATATTTTGTGATTGTTAACTGTATGATCGATTCGAAGACTTGTTGTATAGGTAGCTTTACGAAGTCTTAATGAAACGTCGCTTGATCGGGCTATAAATTTTAATATGCATGTGCGGGACTCGAAAGTAGTTCCGTAGTCTATTTTCAAAACATGCGATTGTTGTTTTTGTATGTTGGGATAGGCGATAGAACGTAACAGGATGTAAACATATAATTCTGAAACATTAAGAATGTAGTTAAGAATACTACAAATGCGCATGAAAATATAATTCCAATTACAAATGCAAGAATTTTGTTTTCTTTTTAAATAACATTATATTTTGAAGATAACGCTCTTTATATACAGTGGTTTACTAACAGTGCATGTACATCATCTACATAATAGTGTCTAAATACAATATTACATTGATATTCATAACAGGGTCATATACATATAATTTTCCTATAAAATATTCATTTGTACATAACAGAATGTAAAATAGTATTACAGTTGAACTGTTGGAATGTTAATTCAATAACATACAACCATGGATGTAAATACAATCACTTCTTGGAACGTTAATTTGATAAAATATAAAATAAACAATAAAAAGATAACAAATTATTTAAATGATGCAATGAATTGTATTATAATGTTACGTGTAAGAAGTCTTCTTTCCGCTTGAAATATTCATTAAATCGAATTACTGCATACCTACAAAGTGTTATACTCAATAAATAATTTCATGTAGATAAATACTAGCAATAATGAGTATACAAATAGATATAAGAAGTTTTAGTTAAAATAACATATGAATTTTTAAAACATACAGTAATATTATTTATAATGTTTTCAGTATATTAATACATACTTACTCTAAAAAATCAAATTCAATTGTTGAGTGTTCACTTTGTATAAGTCCCCAACAACCCCAAAAGAAGTGTGACAAAAGGACAAATTTATTTACTTGCACATACAGTAAATTAATTTCATTTTCAGGTACATAGTTTACATTATTGTACTCCTGAAGATATATACTTAACCAAGCTTTTTGTAATTCTTCATTAGGGTACAACGAATAATCAGGATTCTCAACACCTGAAAGAAAATTTTATGTACTTTGAATTGTAAGTTTACATATTATGAGCAGAAGTAAAAAAAAAACATCGAATTTGTAACATGGTTTACTAATATATTTAAATTACCAGCAAATTCTGCAAAATGATTGGCTATATCAAAAGCTTGATAATTATAGGCAGTATATTCAAAATCAATAAAAGTAACAATGTTCTCTTTTTGATTGTAAAGCACATTTGCTAGAAGTAAGTCATTATGGGCAAACACTATTTCACTATTCAAATCTGTAAGTGTTTCCTTTAATTGTTCATAATTCTGTTTCAATACAGTAAATGGTTTTACGAGTACTTCAAATCTGAAAACAAAGATGATAGATAGTACAAACAAAGTGTAATTTTATTATTACAATATACTACCTTGCTTGTTTGGAATCATCAAAAAATTCTTTAGGCATAATTTTCATAAATTTTTCCACCTTGTTCCATATACATGCTTCTTTGGGTATCTGATCGCTGTCAGGTTTAAGTTTATGCATTTGTGCCATTCGTTTAGCAATTAAAGTATATACTTCGGGTTTTCTTACCATTTCTGTTGTAAGTGTAACACCTTCGATAAATTGGTAAGCTAAACCATTATTAAATGTTGCATAAATGGAATGTGTGAAGCCTGCCTTATTTAGTATCTGCAAACAGATAGATTTTTAAAAATATGTACATTCTTTTCATTACTTTCATTTTCTATTTTTGAGATTATTGTTAAATTCATTCTGTAAAGCTTGTACCCACTCGAATATTTCTTGTTTCATCTTTACGATTAATGAGCAGATCTGTTTTGTGCCCATAAACCCTGACCAAAACCATTTCATTATGGTGTCCAGAATACCATACTCCTATGAGTTTGTTTGTAATCCCGTCAGTAAATATCTGAAAATAAAATTGAATTGATCATTGCGTTTATGATTAGTATTTTTTATTACTTTCTTAATTAATAAAATATTCATATTAGATTGTAAATAAAGCATTACTTATTAAATAAATTTCACAGCTTTATACAACTACTTTTTTTTCAACTTTATCTCAAGTAATAATGAATGGAAATAGTTTCTGTTATCACAGTCACTACTGCTAGAGAACAATGAACTTGTTATCAATAGATAAAGTCAAATACTAGATAAATTGTGCACTGACCTCAATTATTTTTATCAATGATTTCACTAGTGTAATATTTATTTTAGTCTATTAATACTTTCTATAGACATTTGAACATTATTCACATTCTGTCCAAAATTATATAAGAAATATAGTCATGGTACATACTAAATTAAAAAAAAATACATATAAGTGATATGAAAATTTTATTATAACATCTTTTACACATTTATGTATGCTACAAATATATAAAATCCATAGTTTATGTAAAAATTATAAACAAGTGTTCAAAATGATAAAGTCTGTTACCTTAAATTGTAGATTGTCTAATGGCCAGGTGGGTCTGATTCTTTTAATTATCTCCTTGGCACCATCAACAATTTTATTCTCATCTACTGTCACATCAAGGTGTGGTTCCACTTTGTCCATGACTAAATTTTATCTGTGAACAAATCAAAAATTCCTGTTGTTACTACAATTACATGAATGATACCTTATGCTTGCTTCTTATCTCAAATGTTCCAAATCCACGTAGTGAATATTTACAGATTGTATAAGTTGTTTTTGCATCATAAGTGAAAAACATATTACTTATTGAAACTGATGATAGATATGATTTGCCAATGCATTGAAATATATTATTTAGATACATGTCTCACATACAGATGTAAGCTGCACCATAGAGCAGTTCCACAGTTACTGAGAGTGAGTGCCAAATAGGACTTCACATGCTATATACTGATAATGATTGACTGACAACACACACAGCAGGATGTGGTTAGGGTACTGCAAAGGCCTTGAAATCATTAATAATTTCATTAAATTCCCAGCCCCAGCGGAAATCATTCATTTCAATTTTAATATAGTAAACTACGTTGTGTTTTATACGTTTACACAAAAATAATAAACAAATACATTCAAACATCTTTACAGTTCTTCTTACTAACATTTTATTCATGATATAAAATTACAACACTTACATAGTTCGTTTTTGTATATTTTCAATCAACAGAACATTTAATACTATACATACTATATAAATTCTGACGATTATAAAATAACTTTAACAATAACATAATATTATCGTGTTTATGGACATTAATTTTTGGGAAATAGAATGGTGGATACTTTGACACTGAATAATTCATGTTCTATGAATCTTTTACAGGACTGCTTAACAGATGATTATTAATTAACGATATTCTATGAACAAATTTTTTAATAAAAATCACATGAAAGCTAATGAAACCACTTGATGTCAATGTGTTTCAATGGTTTATAATACGAAAGCAGATGAAGCAGATTGAGAGAACGCACCGCTTTTTGTTCTTTTTTTAAGTCGATGATGTTGTGGGGACTGTTACTAGATGAAAGCACGAAAGTTAGAGAATTTTAAGGTCTAGTAGCGCTTAATTTAATTTATGAAAGAAGTATTGATAAATATATCATAATATATGAATAAATTGCGGAAATATACATCGTCTTGATATATAATAAAATAATTCTATTATAGTGCACCATTATTTTATACATTAGTAGCAAATTTCATGGCATGTATTATTTGTTATTAAAAATATTCCTATAAGAAGAATTTTATCTTAAATGTAAGATTCTCGTCTGAACGAAATTAAGAATGCAATTGTTCGAAAATTTGTTATACAAAATTTCACAACACTTAAAATTATGAAACAACTTTTTTTTGATCATGGAGTATTTTAAATTGCATATTGGCAAACTTCAGAGCCTTCAGAGTAACGTTCGTGACTTCGCATTGGTTCGCATTAATATTTGGCGCTTAGAATAGATATATGTATATGGATATTATGTAGGGATCAGTAGGGATGTAGGGTTAAATAAGGTTGAACAGCTTATTCAAAGAACTAATAAACATAATTGAAACGTTGTAAATTAACACTTATCTGACTTCATATATATGTATATCTGTATTATAGATAATTTAATTTATTTCAAGTGCGTTTTGTGTTATCTATAATATATTATTATACATCAAAATTGACGTTGACTTTGCGGAGATTATACGAGATATACATTTGTAAAAACATTTTAATAATCTTTTGTGATGATTATATGGTATGTTCAACATTGTATTTGAGTCTCAACTCTGAGTCTCCAAATGACGAATAAATATATTCCTTTCTTTATGTATCTAATATTTCAAAATTCAAGATTGTTAATAGATTTAATGATTGATAAAAACGCAAGAAAATGTCAAAGAAAGTGCCGCTCAGTTCGAAAGAAATTCAACCAACATTTAAAGGATTTTTGGAGATATTTAAAAAGAAGCGTGACCAGCAATTGAGGTAGGAAATTTATATACATGTAACATTCTATTTACAATATGTAATGTTATGTCACTTTGATATTATAATATCAGTACACGTTAAAGGTTTTGTCTAATGTAATCTATATATTTCATTTTATCTTGTTTACAAACTGAATATCTAAAGACATAGAAGATATATGACATAAAAATTATTTTTTTATAACAATTAACACTTTATTCTTCAGCACTCAGAAATCCATAGGTACTAGTTCTAAATTAAATGAAAGCTTAAACACATCTAACAGCGATGAATCCCATGTTGTTGAGAAAACTGCAACATGTTCCAGAAGCAGTATTATATCTATTGTAAGGAAATTTCTTATTATATATAAAAGCACGGAGAAGCTAATATCCTTATGATGCAAATAATATCTTTTAGGATAGTTCTGATGATGTCACACATAGTCCTATGAAAATATCTGATAATTCTGTAATAGAGAAACATGAAAATTCCATAGCAGAAAAAACAGTATCAAGTAAACATGTCAAACCAAAACCTTCTATGTTTAAAACAACACAAAAGTCAAAAATTCGATTTATTCAGTCTTCAGATAGTGAAGATGATATAATAAAACCACATTTGAGTTTAAACAGAAAGAACAAAATTCTGAATGACAGTAAACAAGAATCTGGATCTAGTCAATATTTTCCAACTCTAAAGAGGGAGCTGAATAGCTTACCCAATGTATCATCATTAGTTTCACCTGGAAGTGATATCTGTACAAATGAGGTAGATGAAAAGGAAGCAATAGAAAGCGATGGACCACAAACTCCAAGAAAACTTATAAGAACTAGAAAGAGAGAAAATATTGTGCTATCAGATACTGATAGTAATAGTCCAAATTTTAAAAGTAGTCCCAAGGGACCTCTGAAAAATAAATGGGCAGGACCAGATTTCAAATTGAATTTAAAGCCTTTAGGCTTAGGAAAACAATTGGATTCTTGGATTCAGTCTACAAAAGCGAAACCTGTAATGTCTTCAGTACCTGTAAGCACTTATTTATAACACATATAATAGAACCAATTGTTATTAACACCAGTGCTGCTACATTTTATTGTATAAAACTAATTAAGTTATTTCTAGGTCACAAAGAATAAGTTAGAAGATAGATGCAAACATTTAAAGGACTTACAAATAGAAACTCTTGAAAAATTTTATAATGCATTAGATCAAATTCCACTGCCCGTTTTAGAAAATTTCCCAAATTTTAATGCACGTACGTATCAAGACTTAAAAATTCTGTATCAACACATTAAAGCAAAAGTGCGCCTAACTGAAACGAAATTGACACACTTACAAAATGAAGAAGATCAGAAACTTGCCAATGAAAAGGTCTATGAAAATATAAATAGTTATAGAGACAGTTCTATGTTACCTACAATGCCAGGAACTTTAAATCAGCAATCAATACTAAGCATTTCGGATAATGATAGTTTTAATTTGTCTACTATTAGTTTGTCCGATTCGAATTGTGTCAATGTCATGAAAATGGAAAATACATTTTCACCAGCAGCAAAAGAATTGTGTCCAACTTTGGAGAAGAGGAATGAATCACAAGTAAAAGAACAGAAGGATAATAATACCCTATATTCTTCACCAATTCAAGCTAAATCGTACGATTCTATAGCTCAAGGAAAAAAAAGTACATTTCAATTGAAAAGACCTATTAAAGCAACTTTAGGAACACAAGTCTCTAAGAAGATAGGAGAGATTTGGGAAAAAGAAGAAAAGTCTAGAACTATCAATACTAAACCAATAGTTTCTAGTCTTGATGTACACGCAACAGCTAACAATGTATATAAAGATGAAAGAGTTGAAAGTAATGAAAGTATACATCTTTTACAGAAAAACGAGAAAAACAGTTTTCAATTCAGTGAAAAGTTGAAGCATGAAAATACTCTGAATGATTGGAATGACACACTGGATACATGCGGTAGTCAAATTACATAAAATTAATAATTAAATGTAAACATCAAGTATAGTATACATTGAATTTTGTGATCAATGCTTTTTTTTTCAGGTAATACCTCATACTCTGAAGACATAGTGGACTGTTTAACTCAAGAACTTGAACAGTTCCCGGAATTAAATAAAGATTGCAACGTAAAGTCGAGCTGGAATTCTTCGGGTGAATTTTAATTATAAAAGGAATTAATTTTTTGTTAATTCTAATGGTACATATATGTTTATAATTTACGTTTATAGGAATTGGAACAGGAGCAACACAAAATACCAATGTTAAAGGGAATAGTAATGAAGATAATACAGAAGGGATGAAGTCAAGTAAAAAGAAATTAGAAGTGGGTAATTTTACTGGAAATTATAAAAACGATGGCATCAGTGGTGAATTTGATGGTTTAAATTATCCATATTCACGAGAAATGTTAAAGGTGCAACATTTTCTTCTTTCAGTTCTTTATATGTTACGAATCTAAACATACTTTTGTGTATTCAGTAGAATAATTTCAAAATATTCAGATTTTTAGACAAAAATTTGGATTATATTCATTCAGACCGAATCAATTGCAAGCAATTAATGCTGCACTTTTGGGGTTTGACTGTTTTGTGTTAATGCCAACTGGAGGAGGAAAATCCTTATGTTATCAGTTACCAGCGCTTTTGTTACCTGGCGTAACAATTGTAATTTCTCCATTAAAGAGTCTTATTCTTGATCAAGTTCAGAAGCTCACATCCCTTGATGTAAGATTTTACAAACGCCTATATCTTATACATTATTAAAGTGTAGTTATAATTTCATAAATTTTATACAGATTCCAGCTGCACATATGTCTGGAACACAGACAGATAGTCAGGTGGAAGGAATATATAGAGAACTTTCGAAGAAAGAACCAGCCCTTAAATTACTATATGTAACACCAGAAAAAATATCAGCATCACAAAAATTTTGTAATCTTCTAGCTACATTGTATGGTAGAGGCTTATTAGCAAAATTCGTTATTGATGAAGCACATTGTGTAAGCCAATGGGGTCACGATTTTCGACCTGATTACAAAAGATTGAAGTGCCTTAGAGAAAATTATCCTAAAGTGCCCACAATTGCTCTAACAGCAACGGCTACGCCAAGAGTTAGAACCGATATACTGCATCAGTTAGGTCTTACGAAACCAAAATGGTACGTTCTTACATTAGTAGTATTTTTAAGAGTTATGGTAAAAAAAATGTTGTTTCACAGGTTTATGTCGAGTTTCAACAGGCCAAATTTAAGATATAGCATAATTGCAAAGAAAGGGAAGAATTGTGCAGAGGAAGTAATAGGTTTGATACAAACAAAATATAAATCGGAATGCGGTATTGTATATTGTTTGTCTCGTAAAGATTGTGACACCTATGCTATGCAAATGAAGAAGAATGGCATCCGAGCATTAAGTTATCATGCTGGGCTTACAGATAATATGCGAAGTGACACACAAGGTCGTTGGATTTCGGAAGAAGTATGATACTTTCACATATTAAATATTTTTAACATTTCTTAGCATACATATTATTACATAAGATTCAAATTCTAGATTAAAGTAGTCTGTGCAACAATAGCATTTGGAATGGGCATTGACAAACCAAATGTGCGTTTTGTAATACATGCAACTCTTCCGAAATCAATTGAAGGTTACTATCAAGAAAGTGGTCGCGCTGGTCGAGACGGAGAAAATGCAGACTGTATTTTATTTTACAATTATGCTGACATGTATAGAATAAGGAAAATGGTTGAAATGGATAATCAAAATCCTGATGTAATAAAAACTCATATGGATAATTTATTTAAAATGGTGTCGTTTTGTGAAAACAAAACGGATTGTCGCAGAACATTGCAACTGAATTATTTCGGAGAATTGTTTGATCGACAACAGTGCGTTGTTAATAAAGCAACATCATGCGATAATTGTAGAATTAAAGTAAGTGAGATTTGGAATTATATGCAGTACAGTCTCTAAAATAACTTAGGTACAAATATTTCAATACAATTTTTAGGATGATTTCACTATGTTAGACGCAACAGATCAGGCAAAGAAAATTATGCAAGGAGTCCGTGAAATGATTCAAATGAGGAATTGTAAACTCACAGCAGTACTTCTCACAGACATATTTAAAGGAAGCGATCTCAAGAAAATTCGGGAGGCAGGTGAGAGATATAATTTTCTATACCACATGGGTACAACTTTGTTTTACGGTACCGAGATATAATCATCAATCATCTTTATAGGTCTTAATAAACTTTCTTTATATGGGTATGGCAGATCATGGAATAGGGGCGACATAGAACGTTTGCTACATCATATGGTGCTGGAAGGATATTTGCAAGAGCATATGTATATCAATAACGAAATTGCTTGTGCTTATGTTAAAATTGGTCCGAATGCAAGTGAACTTATGACAAAAAACGATGCGAAGGTAAATACTATCTACCTATTGTGTCAGTAATTAATTTTGAATTACAGTAATTTAATGCTACTTACAATAGGTCTTGATTCCCATGAGATCATCGAATAACACCAGTACCGCAGTCGCAACTGTATCTACAGTGACAAAGAAAGTTGATAAAGTCCTTCTGGAGCTGCAAGACCGTTGTTACAAAGAGCTCATGGAGATAATAAAAGGAATTGCTGGAGCGCTCGATATTTCGGCATCTTCGGTAATGAATATGATTGCAATCAGGGCGATGAGTCAGAAGCTACCAGATAGCGAAGAAGCTATGTTAGAAATACCACATGTTACTAAGGCAAATTTTGACAAATACGGGAAAGCTTTGTTGGATATTACACAAAAATATGCTGCAGAAAAATATGGTACAATATTATATTTTAATTGATTCAACATGCATACATGTGTCTCTTTTAGTTTTGTAAAAACTGATTAATTATAATTATCTATAGTGCTATTAAATGAAGACGTGGCAGAGAGTAATGACAGCAATGATGACGATAACGATACGTGGGATACCGGTGCTGCTACAAATTATGGTAACACGTATACAACCCGCGGCAGAAAACGTAAAGGTAGAGGCGGTTATCGAAATACCGCTAAAAGAATCAAACGAACGACATCGAGGTAAACATATAGAAACACATATTTGTTTATTTAGTAAATTTATGTTAATATTAATACCTGAACTTGTCGGTAGTACACGGAGAGGAAAGACTACGGAAAAAGCAAAAGTTACAACATCAAGCAGGGGTCCAGGACTTGTAAGTTTTACCCAAAGGAAAGAATACCTCTCAAATCCTAATAGGTACATGCAAATTAGTTAGTATTCTTTTCTTTTGTAATATACCTTTGTATTTATCAGTATTTGAACAGTCGTAATACAGAAAAATTACGACTGTTTTATACCATTCAGGATACAGTGTATCCGTATTTATAGAAACTTAACATATTTGCCACATTATAGCTCAAAATAATGCAACAGTGTCAGATATCAATTTTGTAAGAAATGCTCAGATTGTACATATATAAAGTTTTGTAATAAAATGATTAACTTTTTAGGATGTTTTTAAAAAATGTGTGTTTACATTAAACAATAACGGAATGTTCGATTATATACACCTTTATTCAAGCCATATTTACAATAAATATTGTGTGTCTATATTTATGCTCACAAAAGCATTACTCACATAAGCTTACTATCCGAATCAATAAATTAGAATTTCTTGTAATAGGGATAACATTGCTTTAATAAAGCTATAAATGGAAACATAAAACTGAGATTAAACTAATAAAGTATTTTGTAGCTAAGTACTACTATATTTATAAATCAGGTTGCACTATTCTTAATTGGCGATCCTCATTTTTTATGTGTTTTTTTAACAAGTCCATAATTTCATTATCAAAGTCAGGTGGGGTGGGCTTTGCTCCTGTGGCCCAATAGAATATATCCCAATCATTTGATGGTAAGTTTATGAGACGGTCATATAGTTGTAACTGTTCATCATTAAAATCTGACAAATATTGTTTGGCGAACGTACTTAAAAGGAGGCCGTTCTCTAACATGCCGCGTTTACGAGATTGATACACCAGCCTGTAAAAAAAATGTAATCAACACAGTTTTACAGTTACACTGTTCTGAGATTTTCAGAGACAAGTATGACACAATCAATATTGTTGAGTCTTTCAAATGTAATCTGTTTCGTTGTGGAAATATTACCCAACATTTTCAATGATACAGTGTCAGTGTCATTTTATTATTGCTGAAACTAACTGCAATATTACCTACATATTGAACTAATTTTAAACACCTTACCAGTAATAACTGTACAAAATGTCCCACCAGAACACAAAGACATTGTCTTGGAATTTAGTCATTGTCAAATTTCAACTTAATGATATTCAAGGTTACTTCAAGGTCATAACTCAGACACATATGAATATATTTGAATATCAGTTATGAGATGAAATAAAATTTTTCTGTTTAACATACTTTCTTTATATCTGAAAGAACGAGTAGTTCTGGAAGCATGAAAGAAAATGTTTGTGACAACACTTTCCTCATTCGGAAACATTAAAATTATGCCTTAAACGTATTCTCGTATCATTAAAACAAAGGAGATATTTAGGTGTTGAGTTCTGGTTGAACAACCTGTATAATTACACTGTTAATGATTTCTTTTCTTATGACCTAGCTCTTTTAACTTCCGTATTTTCATTGTTACGTTCAATATACGGCGGTATATGAGGTTCATGACCATCTGGATGAATTATATCTTCAGATTCATTTTTACATAATGTACAACTCGTTGTAATACTTCTTGCCAATGGTATCGGTTTAACCTTAAATCATATATTGATAATACTTTAATTATTTAATAACAATAATATAATTACTTGTTATTTTATATATTTGCTCTTACAATCGATACCAGGGACTTTACAAAAACATTCATTTTCGTTGATGTATGTCTTACGTCTATTTAGGAAGCGAAATTTATAGCACAAAATGTATATTTATAATACAAGAATTAACACTAAATATATATGAACGAACGTAAAAGTTATGGTACTTATAGTTGTTCGTTAAATATCTACTCGTATGAATATTTTTATTCGAAAATCAAGATAATAGTTATTTTGTACATATGCATAAACTGGAAATGTGTTCTTTTCCGTTACACGTTACACCTGGGTTCACCTGGGTGGTGTAGTTGGTCGTTGGTGTTGGTGGCATTAAAACTGATCAAAACAAACTTACGATATAACCTTCTTTACATCACTATGAAATTTATTTACGCTAGTCGGTTATACATAAAATGAATAAATGTATATAACATGAAATGTGTATAATTTGAACAGTGAAATAATGTAAATATGGGTATTTTTTTATAAAGAAATTTTTATTATTTCTGTCATAAATTCATAATTTATTATTGCTCAACCTATGAGTTATATTTAAGCGTCTATGTAATGTTTGTATTTATTCGTATTTTTCGTAACTGTTAAGAAAATAGTTCTGTTAATTACAAATTCCTTAAACAATAATCATGTATAACGAAAGAAGCAAGAAGAAAAATTCAACAAATCAAAGCGAAATGTTTTCTTCGTCAGTAGACGTTATTGATTCAATTCTCTCTATGGATGATACAATATTAAACATTATTGAAAATGACAATGGAAGTAATAGAATATCTTCTGTCAGTCCAAATATACATGAAATGACTCTGAATGGTCTTGTACATGAATGGAGTGTTTGCGATATATTTGATATAAATGAAGAATCTGAGAAATCAACACCTGCTAACAATAATGAAGATCCAGTAACAAGGATTAACGAAAAAAATGTTTCCAATACTTTGTGCAAATCCAGCCAAGAAAATAATCAGTGGCAAGATGAAACATTTATGAACACGGCATTTACACAGTTGGTTTCTTCTGATGGAAAAAATTATGCCTTGGATTATCCTATTCAGGTTACTTATTTTTTACATGATAAAATAACTACCAGTTATCAGCTTTAATCATATTTTATTCTGTATTGTTATGTGAAATAGGGTGCTACTCTAAAGCATAAAAATTATATTGAAAAAGCAGCTGCTAGTGAAAGTAAAAGATTGAAGAAAACAGAAGATTGTACATTTTATGGTTTACCAGATTGTGTAAAGAACCTTTTCCTGCAAATTAGGGGTATTGGCAAGCTTTATAGTGAGTATTTTACTTTTTAATATTAATGATTTCATTCACTGCAATTATTATTGAGTAAATATATTTAGTTTTGTAATCACAGTACATTCACAATAATTGCTTCATTTTTGCAGAATGGCAGGATGAATGTTTAAATTTGGATGCAATAAAAAGTAGAAAGAATTTAATTTATGCTCTTCCAACGAGTGGTGGTAAAACATTGGTTGCAGAGATATTAATGTTGAAAGAACTCATATGCAATAGAAGAAATGCAATATTCATTCTACCATTTGTTGCTATAGTACAAGAAAAAGTATGCACGGATTTGTTGACTGTGATAAAACAAATTATTGTACAGTATATTTACAATATTCATTTAAATTGTGTAGGTTCAAGCATTGACACCATTTGCATTAGAATTAGGTTTCTTAGTTGAGGAATATGCAGCAGCAAAAGGATGTTATCCACCGAAAAAACGTCGGAAGAAGAATAGTATATACATATGTACCATAGAGAAGGCATTAGCTTTAACATACAGCTTAATTGAGGAGAATCGTTTCAATGAAGTAAGTAAAAGTATAAAAAAAGAACAGCATAAATCATGGTGTATTGTTTACATTTACTCAAAAATATTTTAGATTGGTATTATAGTCGTGGATGAGTTACATCTTCTTGGTGAAGATGGTGGAAGGGGTGCTACATTGGAAGTTTTGTTAACAACAGCATTATATGTTAATGGTAAAGAAGAAAATTAAAATAAGATTTCATACATTGTTCATATAATACTATAACATAACTTCATAATGTTTATTTCAGAAAACGTTCAAATTGTTGGAATGAGTGCAACAATTGGCAACCTGAATGAAATAGCAGAATTCCTGAATGCAGACTTATACACTGGAAATTTTAGGCCTGTTGAAATTAAGGAATATGTCAAGTGTGATGATAGTATTTGGCTGCTTGATCTGAAAATAGAGAATCTTCTAACAGATCAGAAAAAAATTAATTATCGTGTAAGTTCATATATTTTATTCAATAGTATTATTCTAAATGGTTTAATGGTGTTTTTCAATTATTTATTTGTTCAATAAGTATTCAAACAATGCGGCAATCATAGATCCAGATAGAATTGGAGGTTTAGTAATGGATGTAGTTCCACAGGATTCCTGTCTCATATTTTGTTCTAGTCGCAAGAATTGCGAAAATGTCGCTATACTCCTAACTAAAGTTTTATTTAAGTGAGATATATTTTTCTGTACTTTACCTTCCAAACAATTATGTTTTATGTAAGTAATTATCACGTGAATATTTTTAGATCGCTAGTAAAACATAAAATTGACGAAAAAGAGAATTTATTGAATGCACTTCAAACTGAGGAAGGCCTTTGTCCTATTTTACGTCGAACTATACAATTTGGCGTAGCTTATCATCACTCTGGACTTACAGCCGAGGAAAGACGTTTATTAGAAGATGCTTTTAGAGCTGGAATTCTATGTGTTATATGTTGTACCTCTACACTAGCTGCTGGAGTAAATTTACCAGCCAGAAGGGTACTCGATTTACTATGCATTATTTATGTTGTTATAAACTAATTCAGACTTCTTATAATGAAAATTATGGCAGGTAATACTAAGAAGTCCGTATGTGGGCAACCAATTCTTGACTTTAAGTAGATACAAACAAATGATTGGAAGAGCTGGTCGTGCTGGCATGGGAAATATTGGAGAAAGTATTCTTATATGTAAAAATAATGAATTGTTAAAAGTAATAATAATAATATGATTTAGTACCATGTACTATAAGTAAATCACTTCTTAAATATTAATGTTTGTTATACAGGTAAAAGAACTCTTGAGGTCCAAAATGGATGACTCCTTAAGTACATTACACATAAATAAGGATAGAGGCATAAATAACTTAATTTTAAGTGCTACATTGTTTTCTATAGCAAACACTAGATTTGCATTACATAAAATAGCAAGGAGAACTTTACTTAGTACTCAACAGGTACGTTTAAATGTGAATGTAAAAAAAATTGCAGATGAAGCAGTAACTGGATTTTTAAAAAGTGGTGTAATGAAAGTAAAAGAAAATGGAAGGGGCCAAAATGTGTTCAGACCAAATGTAACTGTTGCTATTCCATCTCAAGATGAATGCTTTATCGACAAAATTACAGAAACAAAAGGAAAAAAAACAATAGCACTAACCACTGAAACTGAGTTAGAACTTTGTAACCTGGGACGTGCAGCTATGAAAGGTACAATTTTTCTGGTTTAATAAGTGAATTGATATTTGATATTTTTCCAGTTTTTATTCTTTTGAATTTATTTCAATGTTGTAGGTGGCATGGATATGCTGTGTGCATATACATTATATGAGGACTTACAAAGAGCACAAAAACATTTAATTCTTATTAATTGCTTACATCTTTTATATCTTGTTACGCCATATGATATCATATCGCAAATAAAACCAGTTGGATGTGTTTATTATGATGTGGTAATTGTGCCATTTATTAAGATTCATTTTTGTGTAAAGTGTTTTGTAATACTTTTATTATATATTTAGATTACGAGTTTGTCCGAGAATCAAATGAAAACAGCAAGACTACTTGGAATTAATGAATTAACCGTGGTCAAAATACGCGATGGTATAACACCTAAGGTAATTGTATCATTTTGTCTTTCTATCAAACATATGTATATACTTAAGCTGTTTCATATCTAACAGAATGTGGAACCAAGAGTGGTTCAAAGATTTTATGCAACATTAATATTGTATGATTTGTGGACACATCATGCAGTTTACACAATAGCAGAAAAGTATCAAGTAAATAGAGGTATTATACAAAATCTTTTGACCTCAGTCTCGTCATTTGCATCTTCTATAGTTCGATTTTGCCAGGTGAGATAAGAAATTTAATGTATTTATAACTTAATAGTTCGTAAAAACTTAATAGTCATTTCTAGGAACTAGATGAATTTTGGGCATTTCAAAATTTAATAAGTATGTTTACTAAACGGTTATCTTATTGTTGTCCTTCGGAACTAGAGGCATTAATGGAATTACCATTAGTAAAAATTGTAAGAAGCTCAATATTCTCATACTTCTGATGCAAAGCAATAACATTTTGTAAAATTTAATTTCTACAATGTTTCATTTATAAGGGAAGAGCGCGTCAATTGTACAATGCAGGCTACAAAACGTTACAATGTATAGCCAAAGAGAAGCCTATGGATTTGCAAGAAAAAATTCCATACTTAAGTAAAAAGGTGGCAACACAAATCGTTGAAGCTGCTAAAGTAATTTTTTTTTTATATTAACATTTGTAACTTTCAAATTACTATGTTGGCTCTCTTTTGCTTATATTTTACAGCTATTAATATTGGAAAAAGTAGAAGACTTACAAGATGAAGCAGAAGATTTTCTAGACGGTATAGATATAAATACTTTAAAAGGATTATCAGTTTTAAATTTTTAATCATGTTGTATAAAGTAAAGATTTATATGATGATTGACTTATAGGTTTACATAAAATTATTAATTTTGTACATACACGTACGGAAATTTGTACGAATAAACTATTTCATTTCGTTTTGTACGCATAAACGGTAATAACATTTCATGTATGGCACATACAACAAATTATATTTTCTATTTGAATGTTCAAATTGCTAATTGTGCCAAACAGATCAATGTGTTTCGAGAGTAGCACATTGTTTAAGCAGGCACATATATTAAACATCCAAAATGAATTCGATATTGCTTCAAGGATATGTGATATCAAAACATTGTGGTACAAATGCTATACTAATTACATAAAGATTGGTTTATAAAAAGCAGCGAAAGTAAAAAATAATAACTTTATTAAAACATATCTTTTATAATATATATTTTACACTTGGTAGCACATGTTATAACTTTTATCGTTTTTTATACAGACATGGTTTTAAAGTAATAGGTGGTAATTTTTGTTTATTTCCACTTATGTCTTTCTCTTTTTTAAAATCTAAGAAGTAAAACAAGTTGTGGGAGAAATCTTTCCAAGTATTTTTAAAACCATATTGACTTAGTACTTTTATAAAATCGTCTACTTGCTCAAAGCGACTTTTAACTTCTGCTATCTTCAAAATACCACTAAAAATAAATATTTTATGTAAACTTCCATTAAAACAACGAAATACACGATAATACCTAATATTTATACTGAGATTCATAATTACTTACTCTTTCTTGAGAATCCTATTTGCTTCTATGATATAATCTTTAAGATTAGTTCCCATAAGGGATAAGCAAAACACAACAACCTGTACTCCATTTGTTAATACAGGAGTATGTGCCATGTCACATACTGTAACATTTTCATTTAAAGAAACAAAGTCAAAAGAATGTACTTTATGAGTAACAGAAGCAGCAAGTTGTGCTTCTCCACAGCCAAAGTCAGCAATAATATAATCTTTTGGCCTGCAATAATAATGATAATGTGAGAAGTAATGGATTAGTTCTTTGTACAAGAATTAAAAATTAACTGATAATTTTTTGAGTTATATACTAACAGTTTCTTGATAGATGATATTATAACGTCAATAGGATTTAAGGGCCACTGTTCAACTTGCTGTTGGTAACCCTCGTGATATGCTTTAAATGCATCTGGATCATCTTTAAAATACTTTTTGGATTCGGAACTTTCACTGTTATACATTGTTTCATTCAAATACCTAAATCTAGATGCTTTTAATTTAGTCATCATTCTTTCCCTTAAAGACACTGGTTTTGGATTATCTTTTTTTTTTGTCATCTGTTTTTGTTTAGCAGCAAGCATTTCTTCTAATTTCTTAAGATCTAAATTGCTATGCCTTGTTGCCATTCGAGAATTATTTTTTTCTAATGAAAGTCCAGCAGTTTCCTCTTTCTTCTTCTTCTGCACTAATATGTTCATCTTTGCTACTTTATTGTCTTTACTTTGTTTACCCTTCTTTTTATGTTTAGTATTTTGAATTCCATTTGCATTTGTTAAGTGTGGGACTTTTTTTCCTTTCTTAGACTTTTTAACATTATTCATCTTTATGTTAGATTCTTCAGAAGCCTGATACTTGTTATGTTTCTTTGGTTTCTGTTTCTTAGTTTTACCAAGTTTTTCCTGTTTCTTTTCATTTTTGTCTTGAAATTGTATTTTCTTAAATTTACCTTTCGTTTTTATATTTGTTACCTTTACTATATCAGAGTTAAGAAGATTGGAGAATGCATGATTTCCTCCATCTTTGTGTAGTTTTTTCAACGTTTTCTGCAATTTTTGTGGGTTTTTTTTTGGTTTATTCTTAAATTTTACATTTTGATCTTTGACCACAACAGGCTTATGTTTATTTTCAGTCTGAACTTTTTGCTTATTCTTCTAAAATAAGTAAATTGTATGTGGTGAATGTATGTAATGTACCCTCACGAGCAAACTCGGCTTCCGATATGGGAAAAAGTGCCGTATGAAGAGCCTTCTACCACTTGGTTTCGGAAGTTACTGAAATTTATGTCAAATTAACATTCAGTTTAACATTTATTTCCGTACTTGTTTTGAATTTACCGGGCGGTATGCGGATCTTCAACTACGCTACTTTTTCCCCAAACGGTAGCCGAGTTTGCACGTTAGTGTACATGTATTTGGTTATCATCCAAACCAAAATGTTTTATAATTCTCGTTTTGAATAAAAACTTGTAAAAAGTACTGAAATAAGTATGAAAATCTACAGTTTACCTTAGAAACACGTTTCTTGTTAACGGTTTTACTATTCTTCTTATCGTTAGAAGTATTCTTCTTTACTTTCATTCCCATTTTTCTTATATATAATTATACAATATATATATATATATATTTCAGTCTTGATAAGCTTGAACCACCGACGCTAACCGATGCTATGTTTCAACTTTTCTTTCACGTGGTTTAAGAAACAATCGCATTCCCATCAATTCCCACGCATTCTTAATCAGTACCATTGACAAAGCATAGAACAGATCAACAATCATGCAACGAATTTCCGTGTCACACGTGCCACTACGACGAAGGGTCCTGTCAGAGATGGGTAGAAGCAAGTAGATGTTATTATACATGACTTTGATTCGTTGATTTTTATAAAGCCGCCGAATCATATCTTCATCTTTATGAGAATCAACCAATGAAAGTCATGTATGATAATTTGTACCCATCTCTGGGCCTGTGCAGTCCTTCTGTGGTCCCATGCCATTTTAATGTCAATACGCGACGTTACCGATAAAGCATGATTCTGAGTATTATTAGCACAAATGAAGCATTATATATTTTATGTTACTTATTCACAACAATTTTATTCATTTCGAGCAACTAAATAAGAAACTATGTACATATGTAAGTATGCTAATTGTTTGCAGTGAAAAAGCATTTCCCGATCGCAAAAATCAAGCTGATGAAAAGTATGTTCCCGCTCCCGCTAGACGGCGCCACTAACTCGAAATTAAATTTTCGTTTTTACGCATGACAAGGGCGTCCATGAGACCGGCCGATTCTCTCTGTTTTCAGTCGCTTTCGCTGCTGGCAGCGTACGGACGAAGTAGCTGAAAGTTTTTCGCGGAAATCGGTTATCTTTCAAAACACTGTCACTATTTCACCGCCGTCATATACGATGATACACAAACACTCCTGACCCTTCGACAAGTGACACTGGTGATCTGACATTCGTAAAACAAACAAGAAATGTATTGTCCAAAATGAGTTTCCGCCGCGCGTGGTACCGGTGTTCAGCGGCACATCACGAAAGGGTTAGAATTGAGTAACACTTTACCGGCAAAAATTGGGGTGATACTTCATCAATTTGGGCAAAAAGAAGAATACGAAAAAGAAGTGGGAGACGAATGCAAAGAAAACCGATTGTCGTAAGTTTCATTTTACTTTATCGTATTTTTATTATCTTATACAAACAGTGGTGATCATAAGAACATGCTAATAAAGTCAAGTCTAATTTAGTAGAGAAGTAGATTTTAGAATGACAGGTGTATATAATACAGATATACATATATATATATATATATTAAAGGAAGTGACGAAAATAACAACGTATGTATTGTATGTAACAATGAGAAAATATGTACTTCATTTATAGTTAAATTCGATTACTTTTGAACTTTTTTTAAAATACTCGATACATTCTCGATACATTCAAATCAAGTTACCATATTTAAACACGAAAATGCCAATGTTATTCATTCGGAATTTCAAACTATATTTGACACATTTCGTACGACTCTGGGCATACATACATGTTCCACATTATATCCTCGTTTCAGGTGAACCGTGTTTCATTAAAACTACATCACGTGCTAAAATGATATTTTGGTCATTATAGTCTTTCTAAAAACATATTTATAAATGTACCCGTTACGACTGGTATCGATAAATATGATGGTTTAGTACAGAATCCATAAAAACGACAACCGCAGTCAGCGTGTTAATTCGTTTTGTTTCTCCAATTTCATGTCTCATTAAACAAATTACAATATTTCTCACATCGTTTACGTACAATTTTAACAGTTGTACATCCAGTGCTTCATAATATTTTTTCAGCAGCATTGACAATTAACATGTTACAATTACGAAAATCAAGTACATTAAAATCTACAAACACTTTATTATTGCATCTATTAAATAAATGACTAAAATTACAAGTTGTGCAGTTTCATTGAATATTCTGCGAACGGCAGTTCGTTCAATGGATTCCACGTGTATTACACTCGTAGCCTCCAATGATTCGTGCCATTCGGTGCCGTAAAACATCCACCTAGGAACGGGCAAGAATCACACGTAGTTAACAGTATTCTTCGGATACACGGTCTATATCCTTAGCAACCCAGGTACCAATTGTTTTCGTAACCTTAAACGGCACATGTTTGTGTTTCTGCACGTTAGACGGGGCACGATGACTGCTGTTAAGTACATTCGAATCACACTTTGCATCCTGCTAACGGATGCCCGGGGCAGGGGCACGCGGTTTTTGCGACCAGTAACTTGCGTGCCTTTACGGATTCTTGTAAACAAAGGCGAGATCATAATTACCCGGAGCGGGCACTGTGCTAAGGTCGGCCGTGCATATCGGAAGTCGACGCTCCGGGAACTCTTGTGTAGTTACGGTTTTGTTTTTGAGACATTCAGCTAGAATTAATAAATTTCCATACGTTTGCGATAAGTGATCGAAATCGAAGATTTCAGTGACCACCGCTGGCCGTTTCAGCTCCAATATTCGGTAAGCAAAATTACATTGTACTAAGCGGGGTGTGCATATTAGACTGCGGATGGTTCTGCAAAAGTAAAATTTTTGCGTGGAATAATCATCGAAAGCTACAGATACTATGTAGAAAGTGTTTTTATTCGTGAGATTCTGTGGTAGATTGAAAAAACAAAGTTATAACTCGCTTTGTTATATATTATTGTGAATACAAAAACTGACTAACGTAGGAGTACCGATACCGGGTCAATTGTTAACCATACTGAAATTTTTCTTATGGGTACTTTAGAACTACTTGCCGAATCGATACATTTCAATTATTGGATCGCGATATCCGTTTCCGTAGATTATTCTCCGAAAATCAGGATCAATGGAAGCAAGTGTTTTACCAAGGTAAATTTTGGTGAGTGAATTCAGGTACAAAATTAGTTCATTTTGATAATAAAATCTTTATGTAATCGTCCGCGATCCTACGCTTTCTTACGTAATTTTATATTCCCATGTTGTGCCATATTGTCAATCGATATAAAAGGAGGGGGCATCCAATGTTGAACGTTTCGTGCTTTTACGCGTCATGGGTATTCCAGTTATGCGCGCCGGTTAATTGCCCTACGGGTAACAACCGAATAAAGGCAGCAAAGATGTTCGTTTTTCATGCTCTCCTGTACCATACTTTGTCATTCAAAATGTTTTTCGGATATCTGATTCGCGATCTGGTTTACTGTTTGCAAAGCCGATGGCTCTTGTATAGAATTTTAAATGCACGAGCAGAATTGCAAGTGCAAAGGCTTTTGAACACCGTGGAGCTTCCTGCCTCCCTCCCCGCGCCCCTATACACACTTCCCCATTTTTTTTTATTCTCTGGCCCCGTAAGTATGCGCCCATAGAGGTAGCTATCGCGCGCGCGTGTATGTACTCCGTTCTAATTCTTTATGCAGCCGGCCAAGGAAATTCACAGTAGGAATGCACGGAAGGGAGTTTGCAAAATCCAGTTCCCCCTTTTTTCTCCTGGTTTATTTTTTTTTTTCACCTCTCTTCTCGACGAAAGGCTGTTCCGTGGCCTGCATTCACGTGACGCACTCGGTCGATGGTATTACGCGTGTGTGCACACACGATTAGGCCACGTGTCCCCCCCCCCCCGTTCGTATTGGTCGGAGCACTATTTCGTCGATATTGTTTTTCTGCTCATTAAAAGTTATCTTTCGGACAACTGTCGTTCACTTGTACAGTAAAGCGAAAGCTTGATAATTCCGTCGTCCTTTTCTTCAGACGAATAAGCTGGCAAATGTTGCCCACTCATGCCGTATCCTACACACAACCCTCGTATCATCATATTCGTTCAATTAAGCTAAAGAGGACAGTATATTAATTTCGTAAACTTTAAATTCAGTTTTCCCAGATTAAATAGCTAATCGAGATAGAACAGTTACAAACCAAAGCGACGAAAGGTTTATACAAAGTTGTTACAGACTTGTCCAAAAGGGACTTTTTGTATAATCCTGTAACAAGTTATAAAAACATGTTGTATAGCAAAGTTTATATTACAATTTTGTTATATAACACTGGTTTGCTATGAACAGTATAGACGCAGCTTTAGACCCGGGGGAAAAGGCGCAGAGTGCGTGCGTGTGCCTTCCGAAAGTGAGTGGGACACACGGGGGCCTTCGCGCTGAAGGAGAATCAATAGATGTGTGTTGCATCTTGCCCCGCTTGTCCCCCTTTTCGGCTGCTCCGCCGCGCACCCTTCAAGCCACCGACTCGACCTTCGCACGAGCGTGCCCACGGCCGATACGCGCGCTCCTCTCTTTCACCCTCTTTCTCTCTGTCTCCCTTTTCTTCTCTCTTGCTCTTTGTCTCCCTCCTGTCGAGCATCCCTTCTTGGTCGATTCATTATTCCGTTTAAGGTGCAGTCGAACCGCCTCTTGGGAAATTTTATTCCCGTGCAACCGCGAGACTTCGTTTCGTTCCTTCCGGGCATGCAGGAAGGAATCGTCATCGTCTTTTTAAATGAATTTATGCGTTGCTCGGTTGAACGTGAGTTCGATGGGAGAGAATATACCGCGAAGCTCCGATTGTAGGTGAAACAACGGTAATTTCTTGACAGAGATACGAGCGTGATACCGGTGTTCGTGATGGTAAAAACATGGTGTCAGGTAGAGAATACGAAATGATAGTTTTGGGAGTGAATTATCGATGGGTAGAGGTGCCAGTGGGTATATGAAACTTAATGATACTACAATTTGATTTTGTTTTTTTGTATGGAAATGAAGGATACTTGATAACATTGTTATATTCTGTAGGAATTGATTTTTATTTTTATTTCTTGTTTTAGTATACATAAATAGGACATATCTAATAAGATAAGAAGTTGCATTGAAAAATGTCCCTTATTTTTCAGGATAACGATATTATGGTCACGATACATTTTCTATCGTAAATATCGCGACAGCGAACAGCTGGTCTGACGTTCAAGAAAAATATTCTTGTTAAAATTCGTCTGGAATTATAATGAATACGTTACTGGACTAGGTAATTTCCATTTTTCATCGGGAAAACATAACGCAATTTCGTCAGACGATCGATCTCACGCGGGCTGCTTTTGTTCACCGCGTTTAACCACCCTCTATCGTGTAGATCTTATCGAACCCGAAACTCGATGCGTAAATCAAGATACAGCGGTGGATAAACCAGCCATTGCCGTGAGTAGTCGTACGAGAAACAGAGTAACTCGTGGTGTTATACGCGCATATACCTGGCCCCCATTGATTAGAGACGTAGAAATACCTGTTCGAGTGGTAATCGCCCTCCGGGTCCGACCATTGAATTATTTAAGGGAATGGCCGCTTAATGATCCTCGTGTCGCTATATTTTTCCATGCCGTTCAGTTCCCCGCTTGTTATTCACTAGAATGCCCCACGGTTAAAACAATCCTTATGGTCTGCAACTGTTTCTACGCTCGTTTCATTTTTATCTTTATTCTGTGGCTACGAAATTATAAGTCATAGTTTCATCGACGTGCATAGATTATCAGCTAATTGTCGATTTTTGTACACTCGTAGAAGTAGAAAATGTGGATAACATTGAAATCCTCTAACAGATAGGCGTAAAAAAATTATAGGTGTATTTGCACAAAATTGACAAAAAATTTGATATCATCACAGAGTAATCTCTACTGATCACGATTCGTGGTTCACCCTGTATAACAAATTGAATGAACGTCTGCAAAGGGTTGTTTACACTGATTTTACGTAGAATTTGTTCATTCGGTGTATTTAAACGGCACAAAGGGCACAACAATACGTACACGACGATTATTGATCTATCTGCCACGTTTATCTGGACGCTACAGCCTTCAAGTTTCGGAGGGTTGCACAGGGTGCAACCTTTAACGTGGGTATACACATGGAAACGGGCAACAGGGTTGGTTAAGGCTCTTCAACCCTCCATGAATTCCTGGGACGAGGCTACTGGTCGGAACTAGTTTGAAAGTAGTCTCAATCGCGCATCCATTTCTCTTCCTTCAATAAGAAGGAAGTAATAAATTCCAACAGTGGCCAAAGTGGTCTAACAAGTAACAGAATCAAAACAGGACCTCTCAAAGATGCAACAAATAATAACGACTTCACTGGTACTGTATCTAGTTTTCAATGGCCT